CTGGAATAATGCAGACATTACGATTTCCAAGTTTACCTCCTGAAATTCAGCGACCACAAAGGTCGTTGACAAGTTTCATTAACTATTCAAAACAGTTAGAGGAATTTATAACAAAGTATAAAACCAGGCCAAGAGACATTAAGTTTTGGCCTTATGGCCCATATTGGCCAGCATATTTTGAAAATGAGATTTTGGATACACCAAGGTTTAAAGAAACATGCCCAGATATAAGAGAGCCATTCATACTTAGGAAAGATGGTGAGTGACAAATATTTTGCTTTAATGATTTATCTTTCTTTCTGTGACTTTATCAAATTTCTAGTGAGCATAATATAATATATTTAGTAAAACAAACTCAAATTTTCAGAAACTGACTTTAGTTTGACATACCTTTTATAGCTCAGGTATTGGAGTACCTCAGTAACTGATCACTGTGAATTAGTGGTTTTGGTCTCTTTATATGAATCCAGCAAGATATTTTCTTTCTGCTGTCCTACATTGTCCAGTCACAAACACTAAATATAGAAAGGACCAACAAAACTGACTTGCAGGACAGCTTCTACAGCTATTCTTGATGTGTGTCTCTTACATTCTATGCGCTTTGCTGTCAGTTTCTTATATATTGCCCTTGTTTTTATTTGTTTGGGTCGTCAGACCAAACAAATAATGGTAGCGAAATTTCAGACTCTAATGCTGTTAATTGCAAATGCCGAAAGTAGTCCACTTTTTTGAAGCGGTTACTTCCCTTTATATGTAACACTAAGGCTGAAAAATTCAGGAGAGATCACTGCGTAAATATGGTCACATGACAGGCGCATTAATTTTCAAGCAAAATAATTCCCTAATGGTCGAAGATTTCTAATATTGTTTTATTCTTTATAGATATGCATGCTTAGAGTAAGCGCCATGATTATTTACACAAATGTTAAACAACAGTTAGCGTCGTTACAAACCCTAATTTAGTATTATTATGGTTTTCTTCAGGCCATTAACATATAAATTCACTGTGGCCTAGGGGTTTGCGCGCTCGCTTAGGAAGCAAAAGGTCTGGAGTTCAAATCCCAGTTAAGGCAACTCATTTTTTTTCAAATTGTTTAAGTCAAATAAACATTGGATTGAATATCAGTGTTGCAATTAGTCTTATAGCCAATCTACTACAATTAAAACGCTGGAAAGCTTTGTTGGCACTATACAAAAACAAATTGTTTTAGAATCTCACAACCTTCACCTTTCTGACATTCTGAGACCCAAACAAATTCAGCGCCTTCTGTGCTTTGATTTATCCTTGGCTTTGGTTTATACAGAATTTATTTTAGTTCAATTGTGTAGGAAGCTATAAGCTTATAGACACACTTTCGAATCTGTTCCTGGAACCAACCAGTACTGAGCAATGAGTGTAAAGTTTCTTGCCTAAGGAAACAAGGACTTGCCCTTGACAGAGTTTGAACACATGCGGCTAGCGATCATTAGATTACTAGTCTGATGCGTTTAAACCACTTGGCCATGCCGCCTTGCCAGATAATTGTCTGTAATATTACTAATAAAATTAAGTTCTAGGTAATGAGAGTGACCAATAACTTTGATATCTATATCAAGGAGCTGGTGCAAGTCAATGATGTGCTGCTTCTACCCAAATAATGCTGTATTTTGTAATGACTTTCCAGCTAGCTTATGAAGCATCAGTGGTAATAATTACTCAGGTGCCCCTATATGCCAGAAATAATGTACAGAGGGGCACCTGAGGACCTCCTCCACCAGTTATACTGAAAAGTCTTCATAATGACCTCTACTGTGTTGGTGCAACATTAAACCAAATTAGAAAAAAAGTTTAGTTATGATGTCAGTATTAATTTACACAACTTTTGAGTCCCAATTAGGGCCGCATTTACATTTAAAGGCCAAAAAGTATCTTTTTTATAATTTGTTAAATGAAAAATTCACAATTGTTCAAATTGTAGTTTATTGACAAATTGTCAATATCTTTAGAACATGAGAAACAGATACATTATATTATGGGACTAAGTCACTTTATTTGATAAGGTGTTTATCATTAATCAAGGCAATTTAAATTTTTTTACTTGTTAAATAGATTAATTTTACCTATATAACATGAGGGTATATACACAAGAAATAGCATTAAAGTGCTAATTTTCACAATTCAAAGGATCCTCACAGGATCCAATTTCACAAAAGGCTGAAAGTAAACACAGAATGAGCATTTAAAGTTGAATGTGATACTTCCGAGTTTCAGCAACTTTCTGTGGCTTCTTTAACTGCAGACAATATGTGACTTGTTTGAATTAAATTTGATATCTTGGCAAAAAAATGAGAAGTATCAAAATAATAAAATGGTTACCATAGCAGCTAAAAATAAACAATATGTGACTTGCCCTGAAATGTTTGAATTAAATTTGATATCTTGGCAAAAAAATGAAAAGTATCAAAATAACAAAATGGTTACCATAGCAGCTAAAAATAAACAATATGTGACTTGCCCTAAAATGTTTGAATTAAATCTGATATTTTGGCAAAAAAAATGAGAAGTAACAAAATAACAAAATGGTTACCATAGCAGCTAAAAATATACAATATGTGACTTGCAATGTTTGAAAAAAATTTGATATCTTGGCAAAAAGTAAGAAGTTACAAAAATTGTTACCATAGCAGCTAAAAATAAACAAAAATGCAGATTATGTATTAAGCCATTATAACAGACTCATATTACAATGCCTGCAGTTTGTCAAATACTCCATAACGGGAAAGCCAAATGGACACAGAAATTGAGTTCCATGTGTTGATAACAGAAATCTTTTTTTGTTTTACTATCAAGAACTGAGATTTGTCAAGCAATCTCTTCCTTCTTATGTTTATGATTTACTGAAAAATAAGCATGAAAAAAAAAATGAAATGACAAAATTATATTGTTTTGGGTACAGAAATACAATTCATTATATACCTCTTTGTGTAAGGTTTTTTCATGTACATCTTATCATTATAACAAATATTATACTGAGGTTTTAAAAATATGTGTACAGTAAAACATAAACCTCTTATGTTACAGGAAAATAAAGCCTGTAATACTATTTTAGTAATGTGACAAGCTTTATGAAAATCCTGGTTCTACTGTAAATACTAATAACATGTTTTGTTGTGCTGATCCTATAAGATCAAAGATTTGCCAAAAATAAATTTGATATTCTAACTTTCTCTATAGACTATGAACATATTGTTATTGTCCGTGTCTTGCCAAAATATGAGTTTTTATTCAAAGAATGAAATAACAGGAAACATATTGTGTAGTTAATTTGGAATAAACTGATGTGTTATGCCATCACTCAGTAAGTTACCTATGTCTGGTTATCTTGTGACTATAGTGTAATCAAATAAGTTTTTGTCTTTCATCGCTGTTTAAGAAATTACATTTGTATGTGGAATTAGTAGGCAGAGAAATTGGTCGCCAAGGAAAGCTGATTTGATTTGAATCCACCACTGAGATATGACCAAAAATATGTGTTATATAATCAGTGTAAATTAAAACCAGACATTTGAATTGTAAAAAAGATTAATTTATCTTAAAAATATTAATATCATAAATTTATCGAGAATTATTTGTAGCTCATTTAAATGCTGTCACTGTTGTGGTTGTTGTCATCATGTGCAGAAAAACTTTATTTGAGTCCATTATTTAAACATTTTAAAAGGTATTGTCACTTGAAACTTGCAACATTTGCTTATCATGACCACCCCTGCGAGAATTCCATGAATAATTCATGAACTGTTCATGAACATATTCATGGACAAGTTCATGAATGTGCATGAACAACAAATGAGACTTTTTTTCGTTCACGGACAATTCATGAATCAAGATATTCATGAACATGTTCATGAATATATGTTCATTAACATTCATGAATATATCGATTCATGAATTGTCCATGAAAGAAAAAAAGTCTCATTTGTTGTTCATGCACATTCATGAACTTGTTCAAATGCACATTCATGAAATTGTTCATGAATATGTTCATGAACAATTCAAAAACTTCTCCCAGGGGTCATAATAATGTGACATCACAATCAATTTTCATTTAATTCTAAGACTGCTGATTTGTACCAGCCATAAAATGCACAATAGACAGTGTTTTAGTACAAATACAAAACACAAAAGCCCATTACACAGGTAATGAAACTTGTTAAACACTGTGCTCATTGATTCCCTATGTACAAATTGAATTGTCATTAGAATTCAAGACTTGCCAGTTTCCTCTTCAATTTATTTCTTTGACACAATTTTCCATAAGATTTTATATAGTCCATTATGTAAATACATCACTTTTTCTTCATTTTGCTAAGTCATTGTTATTTATTCCATTTTTAAGTAAGTTTGCACCGAAAGTTTGTTAAAACACATGTAGAGCTTTGTTTCTGGCGGCCATGTTGACTTTTGCATTATGGGTGTTACCAAGGTCAGCCAACTCTTGTTGATGATCAGTGAGTTCATGAACTCACGAGAGTTCATGAACTGAAATTTTTCAGTTCATGAGTTCATGAACTGAAATTTTTTTCTAACACTAAAAAGTATTCACATGGGTTAAAATTGTAAAGACAAATTTGTTTTTAAAGTTCATGATTATTGTCAGCTTGTTCATGAACATACCAAAATGTTCATGAACAGAGCAAGAATGATGCCAAAATGTTCATGAACACATCAACATGATCGTGAACAGACATACATATTCATGAACTTGAATGTTCATGAATATTTGTTCATGAACATTTCTGCCAAGATGATGAACAATTGAAAGATGTTCATGAATATTCATGAACTGTTCATGAAAATTCATGAATTGATGAACATGCTTTCGCAGGGGCAGATGCAGTTGTTAAAATGAGGCATAATTCTGAAAGCTATATTTTTTGAGTTATGCCCCTTTATTACTTGGAACTTTGATCAAAGGTAGATCATGCTATTATTTTAATTTCTATTTGTTTATGTTTTTCAGATCAAAACTATTCAACTGTTGAGAGTCAGCTCACACCTTTCATGTCAAAATGGCGGGGAGTTTTAATCGTATATGATTCTGAGCGCAGTAGTAGAGATCACTTCCCGAGTCCGGTACCTCAGGGCTGCTGTCCTAATCTGTTGTTTGAATCCCGATTTGAATGTGGAAATTTACGACAGGCGAGGAGAGTGTAAGTCATATTTCTTGTACAATACGTATCGCCACCTTAGTGCTATAACTGGTTAACTCCTTTTAAATGTAGAAGACTTAACCTGTTACTGCACTAAGGTGACAATATGAGCATAATTAATAAAAAAAAAATTAAACTTTAAATGACCCATTTACTTTTAAAACTCATGTATATAATTTAAAGAATTTTAAAATGATTCTACAAACTTGCTAACAACATTTCAACTATGGACAACTATTTCAACTATGGTGAACTAAGAACAAACTAAATTTATTCTGAGCTAAAGATTTTGTTAATAAGTTGTATAGATAAGATAAAAGATGACTTTTAACATGTCTCACAGGTAGTAAGATTTTGATATCAACTATTTCATTTAAGAACAATATCCATCCTTCTGTCTAAATTAATCATGTAGCTCTGACTTGTCCATAATTTGGAACTTAAAAGGAAAGTTAATGGGTGGGCAGGGTATATTAGTTATCAATATCACTTACCGCCCAAAACTGCACAGAAAAGCATGGATAAATATTGACGTAAAAATTTATTCAACATGGATTATCAATTGTTTGAGAGTGGATTTTGACAAGTTGTATATCCTTATCGTAATTTAAAGTGTGGCACCGTGAAGATTTACAATAGCATTCAGTTTATCGTGGAAGCATTTACGTTTCAAACCTTTGTATTACTAACTTTTTATTTGAAGATTTATTGTGTTTACAGTTGATATGAATATTCCTTTGTGGTTGATAATGATAATGAAAATGAAAAGACGATTGCATTACAAGCTTATTTATACAGGATTACTTTCAAATTGCTGTTGAAGAATTCGATATAACGAAAAGATGTGGCGTGTTTTTATCAATGCAAAATTTATTATTCCAATCTCAAGATCGCTTATGTGCTCAATTTCATGATATATATATATAATCTTATATTTCTTTTAAATCTACCTCAAGTAAAAGTGAGATTGTATTTCAATAATGCAGGTAGATTATTGATAAGGAGGTATTGTAAGCTACCCATCTGTTGATATACTGGGAACAGTTTTTTTCATGTGGCCCTCTTAAAAAGACCCCCTTGTGGGAAACAATTTATTTACACTGGAAATTTGACTTTAAAAAGTGAATGGTTTTAATTGTGCTAATTTTGACAATAGTAAGGAGCTTTTGTGACAGCTTTAAAATAGTTCTCAATGTATAACTGTCATGTTATTGTTAACTTAAAAATTTAGTGAAATGCATTTCATTAAGTGATTTTGTAAATTAATGGAGCTCCAGAATTAAATTGAATATCGTTTTTTTTGTTGTTTTTTTTGTTATATTCTTAGCCTAATTTGAGCATTGCAAGGCTTTTTATTATTTGGGTCATTTTGTATAATTTAATGATTATTCTGGAAAAACGGGGTACCAGGAAATTTGCACACAAGTTATTGGCTAAGACATGCCTCCAAAGGTACATAAATCTCGTAAAGATAATTCCTGTCCTGTCATGTCAAAAAACCTCAGTGGAGTCATTGTTGACAAAATATAATGATTTATGGAATGATCTTTTAACTTGAAATTTGGTAGCAGCATGGCTAGTGGTAACACATCAAGCTTAGGTAATCAAAGGATTGCTGACCATGTGGGTTCAAACCCTGTCAGAGACAAACCATTGTTTCCTTGACAAAGAAATTTTACATTCATTGATTAGTACTGGTTGGTTTAAGGAATGGATTCAAGAGTGTTTCAATAAGCTTATTGCTTCCAACACAATCAAACTAGAATAAATTTGTATAAACTAACTTGAAAATTGGTATTGTAAAAGATATACATAACATGTTCCTAGACTCCTTATCAGCTAAAATTTGGTTATACGTTTACACTTACTTGTCAATCATATTTCATTTATTTGAACAATACAATATTTAACTTGTACAACATGAATCAAATAAGTAAATTATAATATGTGTACATTTTATAGGAAGCAATCAATTCATTTGATTTGTATAAATGACAAAGGTATAGGTTCTCATACCAGTTATTATATAAGGTCTCTTCTGTGCAGATTTAATAGCCCCAGTTTTTATTATAAAACTGCCCAGTTAGCGAGTTAAATAGCAACTGTTTACTTAATAGAACTGCTGAGTTGACTAATAAAATAGTCTATAGATCTGCCCAGTTTAAATACTAGTTCTAAAAAAGGCCAAAATTTATTTTACAGTGTTAAAAAGGTCACAGTTTATAAAATAAATTGCCTCATTTACTAGTATAAAAGCCATTATAAGTTTGTATTTTAATAATAGTAAAATAGCAAAAGTTTATATTAAAGAACTGCTTTGTTAACTAGTAACTTAGCAATAGTTTATATTATAGCTCTGCTGAGTTAGCTTGTAAGCTAGCAACAATTTATATTAAAGAACTGCTAAGTTAACAAGTAAACTATGAACAATTTATATTAAAGAACTGCTGAGTTAACAAGTAAACTATGAACAATTTATATTAAAGAACTGCTGAGTTAACAAGTAAACTATGAACAATTTATATTAAAGAACTGCTAAGTTAACAAGTAAACTATGAACAATTTATATTAAAGAACTGCTGAGTTAACAAGTAAACTATGAACAATTTATATTAAAGAACTGCTAAGTTAACAAGTAAACTATGAACAATTTATATTAAAGAACTGCTAAGTTAACAAGTAAACTATGAACAATTTATATTCAAGAACTGCTGAGTTAACAAGTAAACTAGCAACAGTTTATATTAAAGAACTGCTGAGTTAACTTGTAAGCTAGCAACAATTTATATTTAAGAACTGCTAAGTTAACAAGTAAACTATGAACAATTTATATTAAAGAACTGCTGAGTTAACAAGTAAACTAGCAACAGTTTATATTAAAGAACTGCTGAGTTAACTTGTAAGCTAGCAACAATTTATATTATAGAACTGCTAAGTTAACAAATAAACTATGAACAATTTATATTAAAGAACTGCTGAGTTAACTTGTAAGCTAGCAACAATTTATATTAAAGAACTGCTGAGTTAACAAGTAAACTAGTAACAATTTATATTAAAAAACTGCTGAGTTAACAAGTAAACTAGTAACAATTTATATTAAAGAACTGCTGAGTTAACAAGTAAACTAAGCAACAGTTAATATTAGAGAACTGCTGAGTTAACTAGTAAAATAGCTAATTTAATAGTTTAATTATAAAAATGCTCAAGTATTAAGTATTGTAAAATAGCAAAAGTTGAAATAATTGAAATGGTTAATTTGTAAAGAATCAACAATGTGTTTTAAAGAGCAGCTGCTGCCTTTAACTAGTAAAATTAAGCCATTAAGTAAAAATTATAAATAATAGCTTGGTTAACTAATAAAATAGTCACAGTTTATATTGTAGAACTGCTCATTAAAAGTCCATGTTCATTAAAAAATTATTGTTTTATATGATAAACATGACACCAAAATGAAGAATTATCATTATCATAAATTTTAAAATGCATTAATTACAAAGATATGATAATGTACATAAAAAGAGGTAATTAGAAATGTATTTCTATTAACATCTTGTTCAAATTTTTTTGATAAAAAATATACACGAATATCATATTCTGAATGTTTAAAAATTGTGTTTGAAGGAAACTGTATGTTACATTCATGATTACAACATGCAGGATCTTTAGTAAAATAGCTACAGAGATATTCTAAAACTGCCTTCAGTTATAACTAGTAAAATAGTTAACAATTTATATTTTAGAACTTCTGAGCTAACTACATGTAGTAAAATAGTTACAGTTATATTTTAGAACTGCCTTCAGTTATAACTAGTAAAATAGTCAACAATTTATATTTTTGAACTTCTGAGTTAACTACTTGTAGTAAAATAGTTACAGGTATATTTTAGAACTACCTAGTTATAACTAGTAAAATAGTCAACAATTTATATTTTAGAACTTCTGATTAAACTACTTTTAGTAAAATAGTTAGAGTTTATATTTTAGAACTGCCAATTTCAAACTATTGACAGTCCTTTGAATAAACTTACTTTCTCAGTTTCTCTTCTAAGTTAGGAGTGATAGTTGTTCCATACTGTTTTGTTTTTTTCACATATCTTATAATACTGTTGATTATGCTCATAATTTCAGAGGACAGTTTGAATATGAATTAGTGCTAAAAACAGACCTCTACACAAATCGTCATACACAATGGTACTATTTCCGGATACAGAATGCCGTACCAGGGGTCACATATCGGTTCAGAATTGTCAACTTGCTCAAGAGAGACAGTTTATACAACTATGGTAGGTTTTCAAAGTATTTATTCTAATGTATAGTATTATTGTGTGGTTTTAATGTTTCATAACTATACATTTGTACATGTTAGATTTGTATGATTTTAATTTATATTTTCTTGTATGTATATATGATTTATTTAATGTTGATGTATTAGTATAGGCTTTTATTGTTAATAAACTTTATGTAATATATTAGGTATGAGACCTTTGGTTTACTCGGAATTAGATGCCAAAAACAAAGGTATTGGCTGGGTACGCACAGGCCACCATATCAGGTAATTACATGTATATTTCTTACTTTGATAATATAGTTTAAGAAAAACTTACAAATTCCTGTGCACATACAGCATCTTTATCATGTTAAATGTTTTGTAAACATCATACAGTCATAAATATCATGACTAATCATGACATTAGAAAATGATGTCAGTTAATTGCTTTGTTAATTAAACATGAAAAATTTGTGAAAGTTTGACATCTAAATTTTATTTATATATCAAAATGTTAGAAGGAAATATCTTACTCTCCTATATGTATGAACAAAATAAAAAAAAATACATCGCCTTTTATTTATTTTTTTTCAGTTATTCACGCAATGTTATGCATTTACACTGCCCATTGTTGATGAGGGGAATTGCATTTTATGAGCTGGAATGGCAGATGGTAAGTGCATAAAATCTTGATCTTAAATATTGATGGTAGAAAAGACAAGTCAATGCAGTGGCACTAATCAAGAATACACCTCTATGTCATTTAATTTAGCTGCATGTCTTTGTCCCTATCTGACATAGCTGCACCTCTATGTTATCTGACATGGCTGTACCTCTATGTTATCTGACATGGCTGTACCTCTATGTCATCTGACATGGCTGTACCTATATGTTATCTGACATGGCTACACCTCTATGTTATATGACATGGCTACACCTCTCTGTTATTTGACATGGCTGTACCTATATGTTATCTGACATGGTTGCACCTCTATGTTATCTGACATGGTTGCACATCTATGTTATCTGTCATGACTGCCATGTCATCTGACATGGCTGCATCTCTATGTCATCTGACATGGCTGTACCTCTGTGTCATCAGACATGGCTTTACCTCTATGTCATCTGACATGGCTGCACTTCTATGTAATCAGACATGACTGCACCTCTATGTCATCTGACATGGCTGAACCTCTATGTTATCTGATTTGGTTTTAAGTCTATATCATCTGGCATGGCTATACTTTTAATTCATCTGACATGACTGTACCCCTATGTCATCTGACATGGCTGCACCTCTATGTTATCTGACATAGATGTACCTCTATGTCATCAGACATGACTGCTTCTCTATGTTATCTGACATGGCTGTACCTCTATGTTATCTGACAAGGCTGTACCTCTATGTCATCTGACATGGCTGTACCTCTTTGTCATCTGACATGGCTGTACCTCTATGTTATCTGTCATGGTTGCACTTCTATGTTATCTGACATGACTGCACCTCTCTGTTATCTGACAAGGCTTCACCTCTATGTTATCTGACAAGGCTGAACATCTATGTCATCTGACATGGCTGTACCTCTATGTCATCTGACATGGCTGTACCTCTATGTTATCTGACATTGCTGCACCTGTATGTTATCTAACAAGGCTTCACCTCTATGTTATCTGACAAGGCTGTACCTCTATGTTATCTGACATGGCTGTACCTCTCTGTTATCTGACATAGATGCACCTCTATGTCATCTGACATTGCTGTACCTCTATTTTATCTGACATTGCTGTACCTCTATGTTATCTGACATGGCTGTACCTCTATGTTATCTGACATGGCTGTACCTCTATGTTATCTGACATTGCTGTACCTCTATGTTATCTGACATGGCTGCAGCACTATGTTATCTGACATGGCTACACCTCTACGTTATCTGACATGGAAGCACCTCTGTGTTATCAGACGAGGCCAACATGAGCATTTTACGCTTCAGAGATGTAGTTCTTTGCAAAAATATAATCCTATACTTCTGCTTTTCAATTCAAAAATGAAATATCATAACTTGCATAATTGTTCATTACTTTAAATGTATCTAAGAAAATTTGATAATATTCATGCAGTATTTAATATACAGTGGCAAGAGAAATCAAATTTTTATCAATGCATTAAGTAAAAGTGATTGAATAGAATGTGTTTCATCAACAACATAATTTTGTAACATTCACTATTATTATATGTATATATATTTTAGGAATTCCCGAATGAGAATGACACATACTACCTTGCCCATTGTTATCCTTACACATTCACCGATCTTAAAGATGATCTAGAGTTTTTATTAAATGACTCGGAACGTCAGAAGTATATACAACGAGAAGTACTGTGTGAAACACGTGCCGGAAATAGCTGTTTTCTAGTCACCGTAACAAATTTTGGTATGTATTTTCATGAAAACCACTCTAGCAATATAACGAATCTTATTACTAGTCACATTGCAACATAATATGGCAGGATTGGTTATAAATGTATCTATGATATCATTATATAATATGGCATGAGGGGGTTATCAGTGTGTCATTGTTATCATATTATAATATGGTAGGATATCGGGGTATCAATTTATCTATGATATCAATATGATATGGCAGGATAGGGTAATCATTGTACCTATGATATCAATGTCATAAGTGCAGGATAGGTTAATCAAATCAATATCAATATGAAATGACTTGATGGGGTAATCAATGTGTCTATGATATCAATATATGGCAGGATGCTTTATCAATGTGTCTATGTTCTTGATTAATACAGCAGAATGGTATATCAATGTGTCTATAATATTAAATAAAAGTACATAAAATGGTTGTTAGTTCTTTATGTAAACATTATTTGAGTAATGGTACATTGCATGTAGTCTGTTGGAAATATCTTTAATAATGATATTTTATTTAAAGGTCAGGACATACATATTTGCAATTTTCTGTTTAAAAGTCAACATTCTAACAATTGAATTTTATTTATTATTTTATGACAGATCAATCTTATATTGGAAACAAAATTAATAATTTTTTACTTAAAATTTGTGACAAATGTGTATCAAATTTGCTCATTTTAATTTGATTGGCCCCTTTAAGGGGTCTCTAGAGCTAAAAATAGAAAAAACATTTAGACATCTTCTACAAAACTAATTGATGGGTGATCACCAAACTTTGTATGTGGCATTCTTAGGTAGTCTTTTATCAATTGTGCTCATATTAATTTGTTTGGCCCCTTTTTGGGCTGCTAAAGCTAAAAATAGAAATACCTTTAAACGTCTCTTTCTACGGATGATCACCAAATTTTGTCTGTAGCATTCTTAGGTAGTCTTTTATCTTTTACTGCAAAGCAGTTGTTTCTGGTGAGTGACTCAGGGCCATCATGGCCCTCTTGTTTATGATTTTCTGTTTAAAAGTCAACATTCTAACAATTAGATTTTATTGATTATTTTATGACAGATCAATCTCAAGAAACTCAGGATGAGAAGAAAGCTGTTATAGTAACAGCTCGGGTACATCCGGGCGAATCCCAGGCATCTTGGATGATGAAGGGTGTGTTAGACTATATAACTGGGCCAAGCCCAGAAGCGCGAACTCTTAGAGACAAGTTCATATTCAAAATGGTGCCAATGTTAAATCCTGATGGAGTTATAGTCGGGAATTATAGGTGCTCATTAGCTGCTCGAGATTTAAATAGAAATTATAGACACCCGAAAAAAGAAAGTTTTCCGACAGTGTGGCATACGAAAAATATGATAGAAACTGTGATGGAAAAACATGAGGTTTGTAACTATGATACATTTGAAATTGAGTGCCAATTTTTATTTCTTTAGAGAATGACGTTGAAGGTTTTCAACTTTAAAGTGCATGATAGTACATTTTATATATTACCTGAAATGTTTTTAGATTTCTTGTACACCTGAGCACATTATGCTCTAGACAGTATGAGTTATTAGGGTGAATCATTTGTTTATCTTCCAACCTGACCCTTGCACACTCTAGAGCTAGGCCACAGACTCAGAACATCTGGCTAGATGATTTTAAGGACAGCCTTGAAAATTAGGTGATTAAAAGATACTTTTAATGTCAAATATTTGAAAAACTATGTTAACACTCAAGAGGTCAAAGTTTTGATTTTTTCTCAATAAGTCTTTAAGAGATTGTAGCAAGATTAAATGTGGGTCATTTGTGGTCAAACACTAACCAGGTTACATCAATGATACACCTAATGTTAGCACTGTATAGACCATATTTTTGATAAATTTTCAGAATGAAAGTCTTGATAATGGTAAGGTCTAGTTTGAATATGGGTCATGTTTAGGTAAAATCTTAGGAATAGTTTCAAACAAATCTTCATTGTCTCAGTTTTAATATGCTAGGTCATTGTCAAAAGGCTTGTTTTAGTAAAGTCAAAGGGAATGTGGTTCAAAGCGCAAAACTATGTCAGGTCAAGTTGAGAAAAAACATTCTTAACACCATAAAGATTTCTTAATCAAGTTAGAGAAATTGTTTGTTTTGGGTTTTGAACTTCATCAGTAGCCTATTGCTGAGAAGAATATTGATCAATTTTTCATTATCATTAATGTTTGTTTACCATCAGGGTCTAAGGTTGTAAGGAAATTCTGTCAGCTCATACTGACAAATCTCGGGCATTTGAATGGCAAAATTAACATTGACTAGTGAAAATCCTGTGATTCGGGACAGAGCTAATGACAGGAAAAAGTTTTAATATCTCCCTTGTATCAAATTACAGATTTCACTCAGGCAATTCATAAAAACAGTCATCATGGTTTTCTTGTTTTATAATTGTGTAAATGTCAATTATTAAAGTCATAGACATAGAAAGGTCCCCTTTTTTTACTGTCAAGCACTGAGAAATTAGTGGAGCGCCCTGTCATACAGTCTGCTCTTGTTTTTAACATTTTAAGGTGGCTGTCCACTCAATTAACATTAATAATTCAGCAGTTCTAGATAAACTACCATTCATTAAATTGTAAAATTAAGTTGTTACGCAGGGTGTCAGTGGCCGAGTGGGTAAGGTTGTTGACTTCAAACCACTTGCCAGTCACCACAGTAGGTTCGGTTTGCGCAAGCGTCTTTGGATCCTCTCATGTGAGACAGCTTTCCAAGTACCTTAGGGAACATTGGTGGTTCTACTCGGGTGCCTAAAATTTGTGCCTAAAAAATTGCACAGTGGGGCACCTGAAGTCTTCCTTCATCGTTTAAACTGGAAAGACACCATGTGACCTTTACTGTGTTGGTGCAAAAAACATAAAAACCTTAAGCTGTTTCAGGGAACTTTAATTTGATACTATCATGTTATATTACAAGTAAGTCTTGTTTGTTTGTTCACCAGGTGGTGCTATATTGTGATCTTCATGGCCATAGTCGGAAACATAATGTATTTATGTATGGTAACAACACAGCTACTGATGATCCAGACAACAACAACAACAGCAATAATGGAGTTGTTGGTGCTAGAGCTTTCCTTAACGAGAGATTATTTCCATGGTTAATGGCACAAAAAGTAAGCTGTTTATTTATTATAACTTATCTATCGTTACTTTATATCAGTTTTAGCTGAGAGATAATCATTGTAACTGACAGGGAGGTCGGTGGCCAAGTGGTTAAGGTCGTTGATTTCAAACAACATGCCTCTCATGCAAGGGTTTGAATTCGGTCATGGACTTTGGATTCATTCATGTGAGAAAGCTATCCAGCTAGCTTATTGAACGTCAGTGGTTCTACTGAAAAAATGCACAGAAGGGCATCTGAGGTCTTCCTCCTCCAGTAAAGTTGGAAAGTCGCCATAATTATGACCTCTACTGTGTTATTGCGATGTAAAATCCAACCAAAATAAAGTTTCCTTTTAAAAGGAAAGGCTTGCACAGTTGTGCCTTCATCCCAACATATTTAGTTGTTTTTATTTTTGTAAAAACGAATATTTTTGTCAAAACGATTTGAAATCTATTCTCTACTGTATTGTATAAAACTAATAAAGAAAATAATCAATCGTAAAAATACTAACGTGGAGATCTATCTATCATACTGAAAGGAAACAAGTGTGCACATTTCATTTCCACTCCGTTACGTGGTACCAATTAATAAGCATCGCTATCATCACGTGGTAAGGTTAATGATATGCATGGACTATTTTTAGATTACCTCACCAAGTTCAGTAGAACTAAATATAACTCGATCATGCACTAATATTCTGTGTGAATTGGACCACCCTTTGAAGACGGAATACTACTACAGTCAACATCCTCTATTGTATAAAACTAATACAGACAAAAAACAATTATAAAAGAAACTAACTTTTGCGTCTTGAAAAAGAATTGAAACGGAACAATTTCGTTTATAATTTATTACGGTTTAAATCAATAAATCAGGTAAAAATACGAATCCTATCTATATAAACAAACTGGGATTACCGAAGTAACTAAAAATAGCTTAGATTTCCATAATATTACTTCGTCTGATTCCGCAGCATTCGATAGTCTGGATTACCTGCCCTTTGTCTAAACTATTTGTTTACAATAGAAGCTGGGAACCAGACTAAGCATTCGATTGATTCTGCAGTATGACGGAATCGCCCGAATTGTCACGATTGCAATCGGAACTACATCGGCTATTATCATTAATCCGAAGAGTGACGAAAAAGGCCGAAAAGTTGCGATTGGCACGATTGCAGCTGGGTTCCGTTCAATCATGCACTTACAAATGTAAGCAGAAAACCACCTAACCGGAACAAGTTTTCCATATGAAATGGCTTGCAGCCGTGGCTGCAAGCCAAAAATAACTGACATAACAACAGGATAAGCAACTACCTACTAGCTGGTAGTCTTATGTTTGTGACTAAATGACAGCCAATTTGTTTGATAAGCATTAGGCTTTAAATTATATTGTAATGTTGCCGTTATAAAAGATTAAATTGATGAATTTTCATAACATTATGTTTAGACCATTTTAATACAAAAGGCCTATTGAAATCTTATGCCAGTTTGTCTATAGTTCTATATTATTTTTATCTTTTACTACAAACATAAAAAGTGACAGCGTGTGCGGCTGATTGGACGAAAAGATACTGTGGACCTAATCTCAGTTGCTTGTGCCGTTATCTCCCACATATTAATAGAACAACTTCTGTACATATTTTTGACAGTGTTTTCTCCACTTACAAGTGTTTTCTCCACTTACAAGTGTTTTCTCCACTTACAGTCTCCGGAGAAGTTTTCATTTCCATTCTGTAAGTTCAACATTAAGAGATGTAAGGAGGCAACAGGTCGTGTGGTCATGTGGCGTCAGTTTAGAATTCTCAATAGTTTTACTCTAGAGGCAACATTTAGCGGCACTGCAATGAACAAGTAGGTGTAAATTTGTATAAAATAAGTTTAATTGAAAGCTGCTTTTTTTGGAGCTTTTTTATAAGAAGAATTCAAGTACATGTACACAGAAATTGCTATTTAAAGAGAGGAATTAACAATTTATAATGCTAAATCAGTTTTTAAGGGTACTAAGAAGAGAAAAAAAGGACTTGGCAGTGACAAGTACATGTTTAAAATGATTCATTGCTCAGATTGTTGAAAATTAACCAATGATGAGTCAACCTTTTTACTTGATACTAATACTGGTAGATCTATAACAACAAGTCTTAATTACGATATTTTGTGAAAAAAAAAAAATTCTGCAATTTGTTGAAATCTACATGTGAATTTACGGATGAATTTTTTGTCTATGCCATGTTGTATATAATTTTCAGAATGTTTCATTTATTCAGATTCTTTTTTAATTTTTGCCTTTTTTACAGAAATTTAGCAGCGTAAGTAATCTGCATGATTTTGATAACTTGTTGTATCAGTTATATAGTGGAAGCATGCAAGCTTGTATAATGTTTTTGGAAAAGGTTGTGTACTGGCTTGTATTTTTGTAGTGATGAAGAATTGTTTAATAATCTTAGACTGGTTTAAAAATTATATAACTCATTGCATTTGGACTGTTGTAGAAATTTTAGAAACTGTATCAAACATTACACAGTCTGTTATGGATTGTGTTATAGATGCTTTGTTTGTTTTTCTTGGTTTTATGCTGATTCTAACATATCTTTTGGTCATATATTGGCGGTCAATTTTTGTGGATAACTAACGAGTAATTATCAAAATGTTTCCACAAGTGACCAACAAGTGACTTATTCATCATGATTTTTGGAATCAGCAGTGAGAGACAAATGACCATTGGGGGGGTAGGGGAGGGGGTCGGTTAAATTATGACCAGGAAACTTCCTGGTATCTAATATATCTAAACTTCTCATTTCCCTGCTTCACTAGAACTTTATACACAATATAAAGCTGATGTAATTGCATGATTGTGTTCTATTAAGTTATTAAAAAAAGAGGCATTAATATTATTTATTTGCAAATTTGAGCTGCAGATGTGGATTAGAATTATAGTATATATTATATGTATGTATATTTTCTGTTTTAATACATAGAGGATATTCAAGTTTTTTCTATAAATATGGGATTTATTTTTGAGTGGTATGAAAATAAATATTTCAGAAGTGGCGGTAGCCCCAGTAATTATATATGATAATGATAAAATAAATCTTGTATTCATTGTTAAAAAACTTGAATTTTCTGTTTATTATATACTTTTTCATTAAAGACTGCTTCTTTAATTTTGTGAATTGGCTGAATTTAGAAGAAAGAAGTCTAACAAGACACCAGTGAAAATATGGAAAATATATTTCACTGCAGTGAAAAAAAAATTTTTGCAGTTACTGTAAAAATATGGAAAATAAAAATATACATTTTATTTCATCAATATTTTTCCATATTTCATTTATAAGTATATAATAAATGTTTGTAGAAAAAGAGAAATTGCATTGACATGCAAAATGAAGGTGCAAATGGAAATATATAGAAACTAGATGTTCAAACATTGTCTAAATTATGAACATAAAAAAAGCCTTTACAAATAAACTAATTTTATTGATCAAGTTTTTGACTGTCTTTGTTTTGTTATAGACATAATTATACTTTCAAATATTTTACACTGATTTATACTGTCAAACTTACTTTAATGCTTGATTAATATTCTATAGTGTTTACTACAAGTTGAATAAGGTAAAAATGATATATTTGTTTCTTTAACACGAGGTGACATTAAATTGTTAAGTTCAGTACATGGTAACCACTTGTTTTTGTCTCTATGACTTGTATAGATAAGAAAAAATTGCCACTGTTTTTATTTGACAGTATGTTTCCTTTAATTAACACCTGCATGTAAAGCTGTTTTAAAGTAATTTACTTATTAAATCAAACTGTAAATTCAGCATTTCTTTAACTAGCCCAATTCTTTCTTACCTTAATGAAATTTGTGGCTGTGAGCATGATATACTTCTGATATCATTTCTAACTAACATTATTAAAACGTAATATCATGTATTTTTGTAATGGTTTGCTCTAATTTGAATGGTGTATAATCCATTAAAAGTTTAAGGAATTTCAAAATTAAAATACAAAATCTGAGCTGCAAACAGTATAGAGCCTTGTTTAACTGGATATGAATATTCAGACTAGCCTGGCTCTATTCTATACTGGTGGCAGACAGAAATCATGTTAAATTCAAACAGATTAAGAGTTGGTTAAAAGTGTATGTAACCTATGATGTATGTGTATATACCGGTAATCAATTTTCACCAGATTTTTCAGAAAACAGTTTTTTTTTTTATAACACTTATAAATATTTGTAGATTATTACACTTATATAAATATTTGTAAATTATTTATTTCAGGGAAGAATGTCGTCATTTTAACATATCCGATTACATGGAGATGGGGCATATACTATGTCAGTCTGCATTAGAATATCAATCCATTCAGGAAAATAAAGCGTGAGTTATAATTCTTTAATTTTTTAAACATTGTGTCCTGTTGTAAAACTTTTAATGATAAACTTCAAACTCTAACATTGATACTGAATTGTAACACCATAGTGAAACTCAAATCATGAAAATTAAAATCCATAACAAATAAATAAGAAAATATTTGTCTTGCCTCAGTGATTGAATATATAGGATGTTTCTGATGTCAGATATCTTCATTGGCTGTAACTGATGTTTACACCATGCAGTGGTCATGGCTGAGACACCCTTTGCTATATTTGACTTTATGGATAACATTGTTTGATAAAAGGAATGTTCTGTTCTGATTATTTCAGGCGTCAAACAGAAATTGTGCTAGAGATGACGCGGTATCTAACATGTCAGGTACTAGAACGGCGTCGTGGAGTCACGTATAAAATGCCAAATCTACGTGCCTTTATGAAACAAGAACAAGCAAACAAGAATGAAGAAGGTAATTAGTTAAAACACTGTTATGTTGATTTCATTGCGATATCAAAGACTCATCTTTGTTACAACTTAGTTATAGCAGTCCATCACTGGGGTCACTGGTTTGATCATCAGGTAATTATTGGTTAGCTCTCCAGTTAGCTTTCATGATGTTGATGGTTGTTCTTGGATGCCTGCTTGGTTATTCCTAAAATAATGCATGGCAGGGCACCTGGGGTTTGCCTCGTTAAATACAACTGGAGAGATGCCTTAGAGTCTTGGGCATTCAAGCTAATAAAGATAAAATTAAAACTTTTTAAGGGTTAAAACACATGCTCTGCTATAGTGTATAATGCAACTTTTAACTTGTATATTTGCTGTTCATTCCTAATGGAATCTATGGTATGAGGTATAATCAGGGAGAAGGAACCATTATAGACTATAATTTCAAGTTTTCATTAGTTTTCGATAATGATTTAGCAGACAATTTTTAACTTAACTATTCAAAGAATAGGGAGAGCTTTTAATGTACTCACCAAAGGTCGGAGTCGTTGTCGAAGTTGATTTAAGTTTTTGCATGCAAGTTGATATATCCACAACTACATGAGAGAATGAGTTGAAACTTGACACACTTATTTGAGAGCATAAAAGGAAGCCAATATCCAAAACCAATATTTTAGAATCTTGACATAATTATGGCCCTTTTTGAACTTGGAAAATTGTACATTATCAAGGCTCTTGTGTTACTATCAAGCGCAGTTTCAAGATTTTTGTATAACAGTATGTAGGTTTGGACCACTAACTTCTGTGCAAACTTTCAGATCATTTGCTCACTCCTTTTCCCAGGTATAATTTAATTTTATTGTGCAAATTGACTCCAAAGCTTTTTACATGAATTGGCCCAAAAACCACATAAAAATATATAAATTCAACACTGGGTATGACTTATCTATTGCATAATTTTCTGTTTTAAATGAAACATTTGATTTATGAAAGAATTTCAAATTTTCTGATTTTAGGCTCTAAAACCTCAGTAGAGTTCCTTTAAAGCTCTTATTTTGTGAAAGACATGAAATTTTCTATATATATTTACAGAGAAGGAGAATAGTTCCAGTCAAGAGCAGCCAATGGATCAAGAACAGTATATAACAAATAATAATTCTAATAATGACAATAATGAATACCTCAGTGACAGTAATAATCATAGTGTTATACGATCCGCACGAGAAAACTCCGTGCTAGATAAAGACGAGAAAATCAAGAGATCGAAATCTAAATTAGACAGTAGCAGGAATAATAATTTAAGTAAAATGGATGTAGATAATATACTGGACGCAGAGTCGATGAAGACGATGGACGGATGTTTGAAGATACTTGCGCAGCTACACGTGTCAGAAGCTCTCGAGGAGTCAGAGTAAGTAACAGGCTTATTTGACACCTGATAACCAATTAGTGAAAATTTAGGTAAGTGCTCATTAAAAAGCATTTACAAAATTGAATTGGTCAAGGTTAGAGTGGTACTGCTGTTTGGCCAATTTAGTTTGGTACATGCATACTAATGAACACCAATCAATCGAGTGTTTGAAATTATTTTTATAAACAATCGATTTACTAGACCAAGTTACTAAAGTAGATGAGTTACTATTACTTTGGAATACCGGTAATCACACAACTCTATTTGAAAAAAATAGGGTTTAAAATTTTTTTCTATAAACAGTCAATTTTTTGAATTTATTGAAAGTTAGCTGATTTACCAAAGTAAATGTGTTACGACTCCTTTGAAATACTGCAATCCAGTATTGGTTGAAAAATAATTCAGTCCAATATAACTGTAAATTATTGAGCTATAATTTAGTATATTATTGATAACTAACTTTTCTCAGTAACTTACTCTCATTTCTAGATTTATCTGGAAATTGTTACAGTGTCAAATCCTTGAAAGTTTTATATCAGACAGTTACAAATACAGAATTTATTTTGTAATACAAAAACAGCTTTCGGTGTGTTAATTGTACTGTTATATTTGTTTATGCTACAGTTCAAGTGACTCAGATTCCGAGTCAGAACCGGAACTAAAGCCTGCACCGGAGCCTAAAGCAAAGAAAAAGAAACGAAAGTCCAAAAAGCAACGTGACAAAGAACAGCAAGAGAGAAAAGGTGGTTCCGGTGGCTCGGACAAGAAGGAGGAGAGGAAACTTAGTGTAAGTCATCTATATACATGTATAAATAGTCATTTTCTTCAAATGATTTATACTCATATCTCATACTAATTTGTTTGATGTTTAGCATGGAACAAAATATATCAAAACCAATGAAAGGCGATAGGTGTTGTGGAAAAATAAATTGAAAATAAATCTGTTAAATCTGGTAAAATTTAATGGTTTCTGATATTTTTTAATTTAATCTATATGCGAAAAATAAATTTAATTGTTGAATTGCTTCATTCCCTCCATGCAAACACATTCTGTTTATTTGTTTAGAAACTTGCTTTTAAAATATTATATGAAGATATCTAAAACAAAAATAAAGTCATAAAAAATTTGAGTTTTGGTATATAAATGATAGGATTAAAAAAAAAAATTGTTGAAATGTGCTAAACTTGCAATAAAATAGTATGAAGATATTCTTTAATGGAATGCTGATAGATTTGGGGGCTTAATGTTACACATATAAAGATTATAACTAATTCTAATTTTATCATAAATGATACATTTTGTTTGTTTTTATTAACATTTTTGTACTTTTTTGCTAACATCATATGAAAAAAAAATCTTGTTTTTTTTTTTTTTTTTTTTTTTTTTTTTTTTTTTTTTTTTATAAAAAGTTAATTTATTTACATGCTCTTTAGTGGAAAGTAAAATTGTATTTTTATTATTTAACAGTGTTAAAAATAAAGAATATCAATTCATGGTAATAATGTAGTGTAATTCAAGACAATTTACTTATTCAACATTAATTTAAATGCTGTGGCATTGTGACTTTATGCAGCAAAAATCATCAAAATGACCTAAAACCATTGAAATAGCATGATATAAATAGAAAATTTGTTTTGCATGTAAGATTGAATTATATTTCACTTGTGAGCACCTATTATTGTATTAGCACTTTTGACTATGCCGCCTCTTGAAAATATCACATCTAATGTTCACTCTGTAAAATATATTTCAGTTGAGCATGTAAAAATAAAATGAGCCGTGTCACGACAAAACCAACATAATGGGTTTGCGACCAGCATGGATCCAGACCAGCCTGCGCATCCGCGCAGTCTGATCAGGATCCATGCTGTTCGCTATCAGTTTCTCTACTTTTAATAGAGTTAGTAAGCGAACAGCATGGATCCTGATCAGACTGCGCCAATGCGCAGGCTGGTCTGGATCCATGCTGGTCGCAAACCCATTATGTTGGTTTTGTCATGGCGCGGCTCAAATTACAAAATGTCATAAAACCACTGAAACAGTAGAAAATTTGCTTTCCATGTCAATTAAAGGTCAAATTATGTGATTATATTTCACTCGTGGACACCAACTGTTATATTTTTATGTAATGCTTGTTACTTAACTCTGTAAAATATATTTCGTTCTTACATATAAAAGAAAATCAAATTGTTATTAATAATCTAATATTGACTTTCTATTATTAATCTAATTTTTTTTGTATTGTTTTTTTTGCCGATGATTTTTTTTCTCAGTGGGTTTAAGTGATATTTTTCTTTACTGCGACTTAATTTAGAGAATTTACTTATCATGAGATCATCATCATGATCAGGTTTTGGCTGACTGTTAACAGATATTGTTTATGTCATTGTTTGCAATGCAAGTTATCATTATATTTCGATACATTTTTTCAAATGTAGACAAACTGTTTCCAATGTACGACTGCTAAATGTCATTCGGTAAGTTATAATCCTGCAGTTTTTCCAGTTTTTGGAATTTTTTTCTGCTTTAAAAGGAGGGGTGCAGGGGGAAATGGTGCACTTGGTTAAAAGAATAACTAGCCAATCAGTTAACAGCGGTGATGTATATGGTTCAGCCATTTTGTTTTAGCCAGACTGTTCAAAGAAAAGACTCACCCAGGTGTTGGCATCACTCTTTAGTTAAGTTTAACATGCAAGTTGGTTACTCCAAAACTACTGAGAGGAATGGGTTGAAACTTCACACACTTGTTCTCTGTGATTATCTAACATGATGTCTCAGCACAGGTCCCATAACTCAAAGTTACCATTTTACAGAGTAATGCCCTTTTCTTTACAGTCAATCACTGAGAAATATAGTCGAGCACACTGTCTTACAAACAGTTCTTGTTGGTTTTTATCTTGGCTATTTGATCTGCCTGTGTGTTTGGTCTTGGACAAGGCAGTGTCGGCGTAATTTGCTAGATTTAAACCTCCCCAACCTTCCTGTAATTGGTAGTCCGTGTTAACTGTTCAATGTATCACTTGTTTTATATGTAAATGTTGAAATGGGATATACTCACTGTTTTAATTTCCTGTATAAATATAATAATCAAATATATGTGTATATATATGAGTATTTGGTCACAATTTTTAGGGGGAAGGGATTGTTTTGCATATAATTCTGGTATAGTTAGAATATCTAAACTAAGTGCTCACAATTGAATTGCGATTAAAATTTAACAAAAACATCACTGTGGCTTAAAAAAAGAAATTCAGTTTGCTTTGACCTTTTGACACAAAACTTGCTGTGTGGCAGCTTTAGATTGCCACTGGGAGCAAGGTCAAGGTCACCTGTTTACAACCGAATTTTCAGCTTTTTCTCAATATCTTCAGTGCACTTTGACCTATTGATTGCTGTCACATCAAAACTTGGTCGTTGAAAACCTGGTTTTCATCGCATTGCGGCGCTTCTTGTCTTTATTATACCCCCGCACAACAAAGTTGTAAGGGGGGTATACTGGAATCAGCTTGTCCGTCCGTCCGTCTGTCCGTCCGTCCGTCGGTTTTTTCTTGTCCGCCCAATAACTTAAGATTCCTTTGACCCTTAGTCTTCATATTTGGCATGGAGGTTAGTCATGATTAGTAGATGACCCCTATTGATTTTGAGGTCACTAGGTCAAAGGTCAAGGTCACAGGGGCCTTGACTTCAAAAAGCTTGTCCGCCCAATAACTTAAGATTCCTTTGACCTACAGTCGTCATATTTGGCATGGAGGTTAGTCATGATTAGTAGATGACCACTATTGATTTTGAGATCAAAGGTCAAGGTCACAGGGGCCTTGACTTCAGAAAGCTTGTCCGCCCTATAACTTAAGATTTCTTTGACCCACAGTCTTCATATTTGGCATGGAGGTTAGTCATGATTAGTAGATGACCCCCTATTGATTTTGAGGTCACCAGGTCAAAGGTCAAGGTCACAGGGGCCTTGACTTCAAAAAGCTTGTCCGCCCAATAACTTAAGATTCCTTTGACCCACAGTCTTCATATTTTGAATGGAGGTTAGTCATGATTAGTAGATGACCACTATTGTTTTTGAGGTCACCAGGTCAAAGGTCAAGGTCACAGGGACTTTGACTTCAAAAAGTTTGTCTGCCCAATAACTTTAGATTCCTTTGACCCACAGTCTTCATATTTGGCATGGATGTTGATCATGATTAGTAGATGACCCCTTTTGATTTTGAGGTCACTGGATCAAAGGTCAAGGTCATAGGGACTTTGACTTCAAAAGTTTGTCCGCCCATTAACTTAAGATTCCTTTGACCCACAGTCTTCATATTTGGCATGGATGTTGATCATGACTATAAGGTGACCCCTATTGATTTTGAGGTCACTGGGTCTAAGGTCAAGGTCACAGGGACCTTGACAAAAAAAAAAGCTTTCTTCTCAATTGCTAAAGAACGTCCTGTCCGCAATGTATTGATTTTGACATTTCCACATTTGAAGCATGTACAATACATAACTTAGCAATGCACTGGCATAGTAACCTCAGATTTGGCAGGGAGGTTGTCCTTGAGCTCTAAATGGCCACTGTTGATTCTGACAAAGTGGTATGCGGGGGTATTCACGCCATGATAGTGGCAGTTCTAGTTTACATTTTGTAATATAGCATACACTCTGCTGTTGTCAATTTAATATAGATCAAGGAATGACACATTTTGTCCTATGTCACAATTAACTACTAATGTTAATCAGTCACATTATTTTCATTTTGTTTGAAAATCAGCAGTTTGCACTATTCTTTGCTAAAGACAGAATTTTTATTTTACCTTTGATCAGCATTTTTTTCTTTATTCAAATAGTTTTAAATGAATTTTGTTTAACTATACATTATAGTATTACATAATGAATTTTTAGCTCACCTAAACATATAGTTCTCATGATTGTTAGCTAGTCAGTCCATTGTTTGTCTGTTGATGTCATCCATAATCCATTATTGTCCATTTTCAACAACTTTAGAAGTTACTTCCATATTGAGCTTGTCTTAAAATGTGCCAATATTTGGAGGCCAGTCTATCCAAGGCTCATTACTTTGATAAGGGTTTTGACAGGATTATGGCCCTTTTTAAACTTAGAAATTCTTGGTATGCAACATTTATCTTCAAAACTACTGTCAGTATCCTCTTTAAACTTCACACATGTCTTTAGGATCTGCAGTACTGGAAGGCACTATCCATGGGGCCATCACATGAAGTTTTTTAATGTAAAATGGCCTTTGTAAATTTAAAATTTCTTCGATCAATATCCAAGACTCATAATTATGTCATTTATTTGTTTGAATGAAATCACATTCTCTTTGTTTATACCTTCATTATCCAGACTCTTAAGTGTGCTGTCCTGTTGACAGCTCTTGATAGCTGTTAGCCATTTAGATAGATATTTTGTGTTGAGACACAACATTAAAATTAAATTTCTTCTTCTGCCCTGGAATCTGCATATACATGTTATATGGCCATGGAACAAGCTTATTACTCAAAATGTTTAGCATTCTATAGCATATTCTGTCAGCTCTGAAGAATTTATTCTTTAACTGATTATTTTTATGAAACACTTATCCTTCTTTTTCCTTTTCCTTTGCTCTAAGATTTTATATGAAAAATGATTAAAAGTTTGCAGGATACATTATTCTTGCAAAAGTCAGGCCATGTTCCATTTGTTTGTTATGACAACAGTCTCGGAGCACCTATGAACCATGGCATGTAACACATATTCTTGTTTTCTCAATTAGGAATGGTCTAAGTGCCCACCTAAAACTTAGTTTACCTCTCTAAACAGTGCACTCTATATGCTATATAAAAGTTTAGATGCTTAGTTATGTTTGAAACCTGTTATAAACACGTGAAATCTGTATTCATGCATTCAAATATAAAATCTGTTACTAAATGTTTTGTTATCCAATTTACAAATTATATTTTGGTAATCATATGTTTTGCTTTAAAAATATAATATCTTTCTTACAATTAACAGAGATTTTTTCCAGTTTATTATAAATTCTTTTTTCCTTTTTTGTAACACTTTCAGAGAAAATAACACTTTGTATTAACCTCTGACCTCAGTTTTGATTTGATATCTTTCTCTAACAGGCACTGCCCACTATTTCTGGCAATCAGGGGCCAGATCGCACGGAAGGGTCATCACGGCAGTCACAGGTTCGTTCTAGCAATTATCACATATTAATTAAAAGGGGCATTGACTGATTGTTCATTCCATCTAAAAAAAGCAGCATTCAACGATAACTGATAATCCTATCATCACGTAGCACCCTAAGGTTGGTGGTGGAGGGTATTACTTCATTTGCCAGAGTGGAAATTGTACATAACTAGATAACAGGCAATTTTTTATTCTTGTTTTCTAGCGAGGGTAAAAGTAGGGTACTAGTGGGTAAACAGAAGAGGGAAATAGAAAAGGGAAAAAGAGTGAAGGTTTGGGAAAGCTAGGGATATAGTATATTGTAATATTATGACTATATAAAGCACAGATGATTAGATAGATGTAAGTGCAGGGGTAATTAATGTAGATAATAAAGGAAGAGTGTCAGGAATTTCTTCTAAGTCAGGAGGGGTAAAAAGATAAAGATATAGAATGGAGGGGTTTATAAGTGTTGGAGTGGGGGATATGAAAGTGCAGGAAAGGTGAGCTAGAGAAAAAAATCTTATGAACAATAAACTATGATCTAAACAACTGTTTTTTAACTATTTTAACAATTTAAACTATATTGAGCATTTTATACACTTTAGTAATGCTGTATATAGATAAATAGTGCATTCATTAAAACAATATAACAAAGCTAACAAATATCTTGTAGAAATGATAATAAATCTATATCAAATAATAACTGGTTAACTTAATAATAATCTGCATGGTAATGAAATGATTTATAAGATTGCTATTAACTCCATAGTCTCATGTTATATTGCAGGCATTAAGGGGAGATAAATATGCAAATCAGAAGAAAGACCCACACTTTGTTAGCAAATATGAGGGCAGGAAAAATGGAGGCATTCCTTGTTTTGCTGAGGAAAGAAGTGTAGAGAGAGCTGCTAAGGTATTGTTGGTCATAGATTGATGAAATATTAATAATTGTGACCATTCTGATTTAGTATATTCAGTTTTACCTTTAGTTAATTATTAAGTTATTCTGAGTTAAGGTATATTTTTGTACAAAATGACACATTTATGAAATACTGTTTAATTCGGATAATTCAGTTCCTGGAACCAACCTGTACTGAGCAATGAGTGTACATTTCTTGCTCAAGGAAACAACGACTTGCCCCTAACTGGGTTTGAACCAATTTGGCTAGCGATCTTAAAATAACTAGTCTAAGGCATAAATTAGTTTGTTTGTATTCTCAACTTGATTTACTTGATTTTTACCTTGAAATTACAGCAAAGAATGGCAGAGATGAAGAAAAGGACGGAAGAAGAGAAACAAAAAGAAGTTGCTTTCTTTGTAAGTATTTGTCTCTCATTATTTTACATTTAAGCATTTTATAATACAGTACCCTATTTGCAATCATTCTGTCGTTTCTTTGTAAAAATTTCCACGTGCACCAAAGATTTCTGTGCACTTAGTTAATTTTTTTATTCTTACAATGGTTGATTGTGAAAATATAGTGACAACTGTAATATACTAGCATTTTATTTTAGTAAAAATATATAGATGTTAAAACAGAAGTTATGTTAAATGCACACCAGTGTGAAATATGATAAGCTTTACATTGATTTATAATTATTTATAAATACAAATATTTAATTCAATATATTATGTTTTTGGGTGAATGATTTTATATATAAATTTTTCTTGTTCTAAATCTGACAAAACAAAAGGTACTAATTAAAGTGTGATATGCTTTATTATTGCAAAATCAAATTGAATTGTGTACTTCAACCAGTACAAGTGTAAATATTTTGATTAAAAAAATGTACGCCAATGAACAGAGACATTGTATGTTACAACTCTGAACTATAAGATTTTGGAAGCAACATAATTAAATAACTGAATGAATTTTGTATTTAATAATTCATTAGATATAGCTTTATATTGTTCAATAAGGTACCTTTTGTCATGTCTGATAGAGCCTGTTATATGTTCTCTATCCAATATTTAGTCATTTTGTGCCAGTTTTAGATGATGTATAATTATAGCTTTATTATTCTTATTTGATTGTCTTTTGTTACATCTATATATTAAACAAATAAATTATTATAAACTCTTATGGCAAATTTTATTATTCTGAACTAATGTTATTAATATTGAATAATGTATGAGACAGTTCACTTTCATAATTAGTGAACTTCATAATTAGTGAACTTCATGGAAGTCTCAAAAAGAAATGTCTTCTTGTTTGGAGCAACAACAAATTTACAAATTTGATAGACATACTGTACAATTACAAAAAAGATGCTATGCAAATATTTAATAATATCATAAAGAATTATTGAAATAAATAGATGTAACAAAATTTTTATTTCTTTATTTCTTTATTTTTTTTGGCACTATTATGTTTATGACAAATTGGACTTAATTTACATACCAGATGAAAGAATATCTTAATGAAGCAAAGCCTTTATTGTCCCCACGTACCCAATCCAGCGGCCATATTCAAATGCCGCTAGTAGATGTCAAGGTATAAACTAGTTATTCCTCTGTAAACTTCCTCAACTTGGGCAAAGGCCTCTAAATTATAAATAAATTCCAATGGTCTCCTTCCATAATACATTGATTTGATGCCCCCTTTATAATAAATACTTAGATAATAGGATTTTGTTAAAAGATTATAATAAAAATATCTGATAGAGTGGATCTAAATATTTATGATACAGACTTATAATATGAGGGCCCATATCTTAGGGATAATTTTATTGTTTAAAGCGTTATATATACTTAATTATGTAATTTCAATAACTAATGACTTGATGATTTTATGTCCTTAGTGTTGAAGACCTTCATCTGTAGCCTCAAGGTCAAATTCTATACTTTTAATGTCAAGGTCAAATTCTATAGTTTTATTGTCAAGGTCAATTGTATAGTTTTAATGTCAAGGTCAAATTCTATAGTTTTAATGTTAAGGTCAAATTCTATAGTTTTAATGTCAAGGTCAGATTCTATAGTTTGAATGTCAAGGTCGAATAATTATGTAGTGGTTAATAAATGGCATGAATGTTTTTGATAATACAAATGTATTACTATATCATTTATTATGATTTTTTTGCTTAAATGGTAGCTAGGTTAAAGTCAAACAAAACAACAGCCTTGCTAACATGGAAGGATACAGTTAAGCAAATCATCAACATTGCTAAAATGGCAAGTAACAGTCAAGCACATCATCTATGGGAATTTCATGATATAGATCTACTTAATTAATTACTTAAACAGAATTTTAGTAGCCATAGATGATGATAAAACTCTACAGGCATATAAAATAAGCATGATAAAGTATTTGGAAGGAAGGCACTGGAGAATTTATTTTTAGAGACCTTGATGAAAATTGAGATAACTTCTGAATTATTTAACTTGGCATTGCCATAATTCAGATGTAATATACTTATATAAAACATCACAAAAGTAGTAAAATTTAGTTTCTATAAGTTGTCTCAATTGTCTATATTGCCCATTTAAATAGAGACTAATTTACTCACAGAATTTATGAAAACAGAGTTAACAATCCTTGTTGAAAATATGATAACTGCATTTAAATGTAAACTGCAGGCAGCATGATTACTGCATGATAATGAAAATAAACTTTACTATATATTTACTCAGATTCTTTCATAAGTCATAAGGAAAAATTATTTGAATGAAATTATTGTATTTTTATATATAAATTTTAATTATTTGAAAAGAATACTATATGCTTATATTTCTTAACAAGTGATGGCCGTATAAAAGATAAAAAATATTGTTACCATTCAATGTAAAATCAAAGGGCTGCAGCTCTATGGTATTTTCTGATTTTTGCAATCTAAATAATACTGACTATATATCTGTATGTACTTTCCTGTATAAGTTTATTTTTATATACTATAATTCATCTTACGCAGCGACAGCGTTTTGATTTTCTTCTATAACAGTTTGAGATTGATACATATGGAATTTTGCATGAAAAAAAAAAATAGAATTGCCTCGACTAGGATTTGAACCATAGGCCTCTCACACCCTCAACGAGACCGCTTACCTCTGCACCACGGCGAAGTTATACATATGTACCTTGAACAAAAACGAATACATTATGTAATTCTAAATTGAGAATTTCCATTTCGTGTTTGTAATCCTTATTAATTTCGAGGTATTTTGTTCACGATAAACCTGTTGTTTAACACTGATGAAAATAATTTAGCGAAAATCTTCTCGCCAAAACAGTCCGACATGTATATATTCCACTACTCGACAGTCAGATTTATTTGTGTACTACGCTCTGGAGTATTCGGTAATCGACATAGCTAAAAATAGCATTTTCATTGATAAAAAATGATATTCATGATAATCCGAAGCTTTACGGAAATAGCCGAACATTTTTCATTGGGTAAAAACGATAGTCATCCGCGAAATTTGTGATTGTAACCTCATATTTCTGTTGACTAATCTAAACTTTTAATGCACTGTAATTCGTTAAATGCCTACATTAAAAATTATTCTTTCTTTTAAATTGCTGGTTTTTAAGCAGTTTTGAGTGAGAACTACTTTGCGTTGTTAGGACTGTTAGGAAATTTTGTGTTAGACCGTGGATGTTAGCTATGTATTTACTGATCTTACGATCAGAAAATACAAAAACTGAATTATTGATTAATCTAAACCCTTAAGCTGCTGAATTTGTTTAGTGCATTGTAAGACTGACAGCTTTGAATTTGGAACAATCCGTTAAAGATTTCAATATCAAAATAAAAAAATTAAACTACAAATATACCATAAAAAATATGATATTTCTAGCCTGAGCAAAAGTTACATTAGCGTAATCACTTTCACTTCCAGCAGACTAAGGTGTTACTATATATTCAGTCTTCAATATTCAGCCAGACAGATTTAAGTCTTTTCAGCTGCAGATAGCTTAAGAATAATAGATTACATTACTCTGAAGCCTTATTGACTTATGAATGAATACTGCATGAAGTTTATCCTCTCTTACTTTAACTTTCCTGTATTGAACTACTTTCTACTATTCTCGTAGACTCCTTACAGCTGTTATGAGTTTGACCGTTTCCCGGCCCGAAAACTTCAATCTTATACGTCATATGACTCGGTAAAATATTCGCCTTTTTTGTGTCGTACTTATCGAGCATAAAACTGCCTTCTTTTCTAATCCTTGTTTAGAAATTTATTCTGATAGTTGGAAAAAGGCTTTATGAAAAATAAAAATCACATTGTTTCCATTCTATGTATGATAACAACATGATTGTTATGTATAACCTTTCATAAATAACACACGAATCATGCACAGAAATTTGGCTTAGAAAGGAGGGCAAATTCGATTTCACCAGAGCACTTCCTTTTGGAGGGTTGATTTTATTTTCATTCACTGCATTTACTGCAATGTTCATAAATTATAAAGACAATGTTATTTGCTAATTTGCATATAATTTTTCTTCACTTTTAATTATTTTTAGCTCGTCTGTTTCAAAGAAAAAGTTGAGCTATTGTGATTTCTGGGTTGTCGTTTGTGTGGTTGTTGTGTTCTTGTAAAAACTTAAAACATAGCCCATTATTTAAATATTTTAAAAGTTATCAACATGAAACTTTGAATACTTGCTTATCATGATAAGGTGCGGGTGTTAGACAAGGGGCATAAATCTAAAAGCAATATTTTTGGAGTTATGCCCCTTTTTAACAGACGAGCGTAACTGCACCATTTGTGGTGCTCTTGTTAGAATTGCCACTGATGTAGCTGTGAATCCTTCATGATAATATGTAAGCTTATAGAACATTTTTTCTTGCCCATTCAATGTTGCAGTGATTCAAATACAATTACAGTTTATATTCATTCTAAGAAATAACAAAACATTTAAAAATTAGCTTAAAAAAAGATGAAAAAGGTTCCGTAGGAATAATATACCATAAGATAGTTAACATAACGTGATTTTAAATTTATAATTCATATGACGTATGATTGAGCTAACTTCACTTGTGTATTTCTTAACTTGTTCTGGTAAAGACATTTTATACCATTCAAATCATTGACCCATATTGTGCAGTTCTTCACTCGAGGTTATAAAACGTCCTCAAATCTCAGGATTGGTCAGCAATTTCTTTATAACATCCGGACATGTTCCGAACATGATCAAGCAGCACTTTGTACTTATTGTGTATCTGTGGTTAAGACTACATTAGGAGTAATGTCTGTTGTATATTCAAAATATAAAAGAATTGCAATTGTTTCTTTTTACAAGTCAAATAGTGAGACCACAGATATAATGGAGTGCACTGGCCACCATAGATTGCGTAACTATGAAAAGGTACATGCGTATATCTGTTTGATGGATGTCTTTAAGTGTATATCTAATTTGTAGTTCAGAAGTTTGACTGTTTATATTTTTTTGTAACAGTTTTAAGCTCAACCAATAAAAGTGAGTGGAGATATCAGTTTTCTTCAGTTTTTGTATTTTTTACTCTTTATTATTTATTTCATTTTTTTAAAGATTTATCCCACATGAAACTTTATTACTTATTTACATTTAGGTAACCTTGCCTAGTTAGGATGTCAGGGGATCATAGGCCAGCACTTTGTTTCCTTGAAAATGTTAATTAAAAAATTAGTAATTTTGATGATACCAACTATTATGCTTTTTTTGGGGGGAAGGGGGAGGGGAAAGAATGAAAAATAATAAAGTTAATTTATCAAGTTTTATGCAAATAATAACATTATTTCTTTTGTAATATCTATGGTGGCCAGATTATTTGGTGACAATATGAAATAGTACCAAACAACAGTTCTCATATAGTTCATAATTTGTCCCAAGCCAACATATTGGCAAAGGTAAATCATCTTTATAATTATGGATCATATACCTAAAACTAGAATATATCATTTACTTCTTCTTGGGTAATTATACCTTTATTAAGCACAGTTAAGGAGGAGGACTGTATACATATAATTTTGTCAGTCTGGCCCATGGCATCCTATCAAAATCTTTTTTATATGGATATTTAAAAGAACATGCCATACAGGACCATCACTGGCTAAGAGCAAGCATAGAGGGATTTAACTGTAAATTCATACTACTATTCAGTCATGCTCATCAGAATTAGTGTTCTTAGCATGAAACATGTTTCTAGGTCAAAGGTCAAGATAATAGAAATATGGGCAATTAAGTAGTCTTGGATTTAAAGATCCTGACAATGAAAAATGTTTGCCAAAATGAGACAGAGCAAGGTCATCATTATGATAAAATGTCCATGTTCACCATCTCTATGTAGTACATGTATTTGTTGCAAAAACAGGTTTCTATATCAAAAGTCAAGGTCATATTAAGATGTCATGTGAAAATGCTAGTCCAGAGCAAAGCTTTCAAATGCATTAAGGGATTTTAATATAATGTGACACAAAAGTTCACTATATTGATGTATAGTGCCATACACACAATTTAGGCCCTTGTTAGCAAGGTGAAGGTCATTCATTAAGATCTTAGGTCAGTTACAAATAATAATATATCTGTATGGAGAATTTTGTAGTTCTGAAATGAGGGATTATATCACAAATGTTCAAAATCATGAAACAAATGTTGCCTGCATAATCCAGGTCAATTATTGCAAGGTCAAGGTCACCAGAATTGTTAAAGTGTCTAGATTTTGTCCAGAGCATGCAGGGGGTGTCTAGGTCAAAGATCAGACTGTCAGGAAGAAAAGCTACTCCGTAGCAAAACTTCTCAAAACATTAACTGATAGTTTAAGTTAACATTGGTTACTTACATGTATATTTTGCCTGAAATTTTTACTTAATACTAACTTTTTAAAGCAGTTGATAACAAAAGTTTGTACATAATGAGGTTTATCTATCTAACATGATTGTGAAACTAACAAAGTTTAAAGTCAGCTTTATAAGTTAGTGCTTAAAAAATCAAAATATATTTTAAATATTCAAGAATATTGGAATAAATTGCATTAATTAGGAAATTTAGTTGGGGATCATTTAAAATAAAATATATTTTTTGTAGTAAATACATTTGCAGTCTGTAGATTGTCTCAATTTATTATAGGATTTGCTTTTTATAATACACTTGCAGATAGAAACTAAAATACCTCTTTACCTGTTGAAAACAAAATGTAACCAGAATGGAGTCAGCCCACCCATACAGTTTAACAGGGCCCTACACTGTAGGCTGCTGTGCAGTTATCTTGATTCTGTTCTTTGAATGGACTGTTCCAAATTTGAAGCTTGGCTCATCCATTATACAAGTTCAACAGGTTGAGAGTTTTGAATGCAAATAGAAAGAGAAAGTAAAATAATAAGCATTTTATTATTAGTTATTTTATTTCTGTTTTGGAAAAGAAGACTGTGGGTAGAGTTTTGGGGTGGGGTTGGCGGTGCAGTATTTCTAGGCTAATGCTATATTTCATTTGTGTTGATGTGGAGATTTCCAGTACATAATTTATTCAGTTTGATATCTTCCAGAATGATCATTTTCTGTTTTTGTCCTGTTCTATATATATATAAAGAAGATAACAGGCCTATCAAACTTAACCTATGGCTTTTAACTTCAACTCTTGTATAGTTGAAAGACAAAGAATTATGTTCTATGAAGGGTCTGTCTGTGGCTATATTGAGAAACAGTGACTGGAGATTTCCACATTGTATTGTTTAGTAGTTCTGCTATGTAGTTAACCACTGTGTAACCAGAGCTTCTGTTTGTCCTTGACCTTTTAGTGTGTAGATGATTCTGGGGTGTGTAATTGCGGCCCGCCCCGTTCAGGGATGCCCGCACTCAGGCGCTCACTAACTAATGATGAGCTTCAACGTCGTCTTCAGGTCGCCCTTAATGAAGGGACATCAAATATTGCTCAAACTCTGGTCGGACTCAATGTTAGAACAGGATATACTCATGCCGGTATGTACTCCATGACCTTGTTGTTATAGAAACCATTATTATAAACTTATATAACTGATACAGATATTTCCCTCTGGTCATTTTGTTGACATTTTTCTATAAACACATGTAATTACGTCTTTATTATTATTATTTCTTTTGTTGAATTCATTCAAAAGAAACTACAAAATGGATGTGTCTCAATGAAACAAAATGACTTAACAGGGTTAAATTTGTGTCAGTTATGAAACAAATAATCTTTTTATTGCAGACAGGATGAGTATTTTAGGATTAAGAATTATAACAATATTACTCAGAATATTTTACCCATAATACTTTACAACAGTCTGACGAGGAAGAAGACTTTTACATGGAATCATGCCGAACTATTCGGGGTGTTGTTTCCGTGCAAAGCTGTGCTACACCACAACCCTTAGAGCCCATGGATTTACCTAAGTCTATATCACCCATAGTCAGGAATGAGTTGCCATCGAGGCCTTTACCAAAGTCTCTGTACGCTGATAGTCTCAAAATGCCAACAATAGTGGAAACTTTGGCCAAAATGAAACCAAGGGCATATCACTCTGTGACCCTTGGAAACGCTTGTAAGTTACTCTAGCAACCAAAGCAAGAATGGTTGGAGCTATTAACAGTGTGTCTAGTGTATTTGACCTAAAAGAGAAGACTTAATATTGTCACTTTGTTTTAGCCTAGCATTTGTAGCTGTAAATGTTATGTATACGTGACATCACCAAAAGTGGCTGCTTTTGTGCAGATTCATTTATTTAACTTTCATTTTGTAAACTTGAATATAACTGTAGCTATTTTAGATTTTGCTATTTAATAATTTATGTCACATCAGAAGCTAAATGGTATATTTTTATGCTCCCTGAAGGTCCTGAAGATGAGCATATAGTCGCCGCTTTGTCCGTACGACAGCTTTTCTTGTCCGCGATATAACTCTGAATTAACAAGAGGTATCAACATGAAACTTTATGCGTCCATAACCTATTCGGGGAGCATCACCCGGTTCAACCGGCTCTTATTTTATCTTTGGTTTTTCCAGTAGTAAGTTTTTATGTTCTGTATAAATCGGAGACAAATAAATTATTGTATCATTGTGTCGTAGGGACTTGCTATGTGCCTAATGTTCGAATACCCCGTAAGTAGTGACAATGAACGTAGAGCTTAATACTAGAAGACATGCTAAATGTTTAACTTCTGTTCTAAAATATATATGTTAATTATGTTGTTATTCGTTGTAACATTATAAAACAAACTACTAATTTAATAATTTAATAATCTGAACAGTCAGGGTTTTAGATGTATATTAGCATACTTAGTATTCAACTTGCTTGTAAATCGCTAAAGTTTATTCTGTGTCATCGTCTGATACCCACGGGTGATTAACATGGAACTTGTAATCTGTTAAATGTTAATGGTTTGGCTGTGGTTATCCGACGATGATTACGAGGATTATCTGTGGATTAGTCTGTAGACATCTATGAGAAATTTGTAAAAAAAGCAAGAATAAAGGTTATTTTTATATTTTCAAATTATCAGGAAGATTGAGTATATATAATTGGCCAATTTTCATCACCGTTGTGTAGTTATGGGTTGACTCCTTACATAACTGCAATTAAGGTGACAGTCAACAAAAATACAAGTCATAAATATATTTGCATTCTTTAGAGTAAGAGTATCACAAAATAAAATGAAAAAATGAAACTTTCATATTATGATGGTAATTGAGGTATACCACTTTCTTTATTGCTGAAATATTAACTTGGCAAAGTTCAGATATTGCGAGGTTATAAACATTTTGTGTTACATAGATTAGTAAAATTAGTGTTTAATGTAAACTAATATTGAGGATTGATTATAATGCATCAATGTTATAAACATTTTGTGTTATGTAGAAGAGTAGAATTAGTATTTAGTTTAGATTGCAGTATGCTAAGACATTAACAATTTTAAATAAGCCTTATGAATAGTCTGTACTTATAACCCATAGTTTATAGAACTATAACTGTTAACATTAGGTTATGATGTAACTTCATGTAAGTCATTTCATAATTATGTTGTAAGTTATTGATATTTATTATATAATATATAATATATTAATTATAAAAAATTTTGACATGTTATAATTATGGCCCTATATAAAAGGTTTTATGCATATTTTATATAAAAGAATATTTCATACGGACATTGTCATTCACACAATAATACTTGAAGGGAGAGAACGGGAAGGGAGGGTGATGTGGGGGTGGAATATGGATAAGTAAACACATTTATATGTGAAATATGTTTTCAGTATGATTGTATTGTTTTATTGTTTGTTTGTTGAAACTTGTTGTTGAATATATGTTGTGTTTCAGAATGCATTCATAAGTTTAAGTTAAAGGGTAGATCACTGTCCCTTACATCAAGTGAGTTTTTAAAATGGAAAATGATTTTTTTTATATATACATATATATATTTTCTGACCTGTTTTTCCCCACTTATTGGACAAAGTTCTTTTATGTCAGTGTTCAAGTAAAACTGGTCTAACATATTATATAGGAATATGCAAGAATTAAAATCAACCACAAATGAAATTTTAGAAATTTCTAATGAGATCAAAATCAGACGCCCCTATTATTTTAAGTTGTGAAGGTTAAAGGGTTTTCTCTAGATTTTTAAACTCTTCCATGTAGGTCTATAGTGCAAAATTCAGCGTGTAAATTGACATAAAAATGAAAAACATTTAAATGCTTTTAACCCAAATCACTGGACTGAGAAACTCACTATAAATATGATTTCCTGTATAATTTCTAGTAACCATATTTCTTATTTTTTCATATTTTCTTTCCCATTTTAATTGGCTAAGTTGATATTAAATTTTAAGTTTTTAGGCTTTTGAACCTCAGTGGATCTTCATAAATTTTATGTCCAAAGTAAGTGAGGAAAAGTCTTCTATAATCCTTACAACATTTTATCATCTATTATTATATCAATCTCGTAATTGATGCATGATATTTTGAATATTTTAAATTTACACATTTTTGGTATAATTAACTTTGAATTACACTTTGCATGCAGCACAAAGCATTTTATTTATTATTTACATATTTGTTTTCTAAATGGATATTAACAGGCCTTAATTTCACATAAAATTTTCAGCAATCTTTATCATTGTTTTTTGCTCCCCGAAAAGTTACCACTTGTCTGAGAGAAAGTTCAGTACTAAACATTAATTCATTAATTATTTAATAATGTTTGCTATGCCTTTGCTCAAAAAAGCCTTTATTTATTAACTGATGTCATTCATTTTTGGTAGGAACATACCTTGAGTTGTTTTTTAGCTTTGTGTATAGTAACTTAAGGGGTCACTTGCATGGGTCAAAGTCACTGTTGCTAAAACAATATGACTTTTACACACTTTATTATAGACTAATATTTTGAATATTTTGTAGGTAGAAAAGTAACCTTAGGTGATCCTTAAACTTAAGTTGGAATAAGGCATCACTTGGGTTAATTAAGGTTAAGGTCACTGAAAAACTGTAGATGTTTTTCATATTTGGTTGTAAGAAACTTTTGGGTGGTCCTTTATTTTATGAAAGGTGTGTTTATTGAAATAAATTGGCAAATGCGCAGTTTAACTTTCTGGGAGAATACATCGCCTTTAGCTATTTTATTTCTTGTTTAAAAATGTTGCAGTACACACTTTTTGTTTGTTTTCTATATAATGTGCATGTCTTTATTTTTGTATTTTATATTTATCATTTTTGGTCCCTTCTAGACTTTTCTCCAATTAATGTCACAGCCACAGAACACATTGGTAAGGATCAAGTTTGTGTAGCAATTAATCTTAAAATCATAATTCTTCCAAACTAATGTAATAAATGAAAGTTTCAGGACTCGTTGTATTTATTCTTAAAGCTTGATGTTTTAAAACATTTACATCCTGATATAAAAGTGCATTGAAGTATTTATTATAAACTTTATTTTATATCTTTGGAAAGTGTAACTACTACAAAAAAAAGAAAGCCCTACATCTTTCCCATTTTTGTTTCTGAAATATATATAATTTTTACTTTTAAAAGAGAATGAATCTAACAAAAATTTATTATTTTTGCCTGAGATATAAGGAAGTGTTGTTTATTTTTTTATTTTTTTTAATTTTTAAGATTTTTTTTGGGGGCAGTCATAGATTGTTGTCCCAATTTGGAAAAGGGTCTTGTCCATGAAGTCTCATAATGAAGATTTCAAAAGATTGGGATTCCTACTGGACCACAGTTTTGATTTAATAAGTAAAGACTGGAAAAATACATAGACTGAAACTTTTGCTCTACGCAGTTCTGAATAAAGTAGCCTAGGTTAAACCGACAGCTGATTTGTTTAATAATTTGTTTAATTTTAAAAGCCCATTATGCCTCAGACATATTTTTTTATTTCTTAAAAACTTTTCATTTTGGTGTCCTATTTTAAAAATGTAACTTAAATGACCAATTACCTAAATCATCTTTTGCTTTTGGTAACTACAAAATTTTGTATGGTGGTCACAAGTATACTTTTGGCTAATTTTTTGGCAAATAATTTTACTTTCAGCACTAATTATTTCAAGTAATAAGCATTTAACATGCTCTAAAGCCAATGTTTAAGCATTATGAAACTTATGTTTGCTCTTTAATGCAAAGAAGCAGAACATTTTTCATTTTTGAAGCATAATGTGCCTTTAATAATTATTAAATATTAGAAACAAGTAGAAGTTTGATGGCTTAAGAAACTAAGTGCATGTCTTTATGATTGACCCTGTATATAAATTGTCAGCTGAGGCATTACCATTGAAAAATTAGTACTGGGTTATCCCACTCACCCTGATATAATGTTGGTGTGTTGCTGACAAAAAGTTTTGCATGCAACTTATGTCATTAACAACTGAGTTTTTACATAGTTAAAAGCTGAGTTATTTTGTAGTTTTCAAGAGCCATAACTCTAGCTTTGATTTTGACTAAATTATCTCTCTTTTTGAAGTTAAAAACTTCAGTTTAGGTTTTACTTTGTTATAGTTCATTCTCCTCACCCACTGAATTTAAGTCACTTGCTTAAAATTTCTCAAGTGTCTTGAGTGGTCATAATTAAGTGAATGTCACTGATCATTTTTACTTATTTATTCCTCCTGACAACTATTAAAGTTTTGGTTCAGATTTTTGTGTGGTTCTTACCGAAATGTCACACACAATGATACTGATCAGTCACTGACCATAGTTTCTATTTGGGCTACTGGTATGCCTCTTTTGTGGTCCTAGAAAATTTTGTAAGTACGACATTATGCTCTAGAGCAAGTCAAGTTAAGCCCAGTGCAATATTAGGAGAAGTTTTTGTTTCATTATCTAGTTTTCTTATTATCATCATCTTATTACCTATCAAGTTTAATAGTTTTGAATTTTCTCAGGCTGGTAGCTAAATTTCTTAAAACATTATTTCAAGAGATATATTAAACACTATATAAGGTGAAACTTGTTTATTATTATAAACTGAATGTTAAGTATATGTTTGTTTTGTCTTGATTCATTTGTAATCTGTTTTTTTAGGACAAATGTTACATTTTATGTATGATTAAACAGTTAATTGTGCCCACATTTTCAGGTCCAATGTTCCATCCGGATAAAGTGCATATATTTGGGAAATTCTTTGGTAACAAAAAAACAAACTGTGGCATTATTTTGTAGTTTTGTAGAAATATGAAATATATAATATTATACATCATGGCATACTAGAGAATTGCTCTCTACCATCATTCATATGAGCCGCGTCACGACAAAACCAACATAGTGTGTTTGCGCATTCGTGCAGTCTGATCTGAGGATCCATGCCGTTCGCTATCAATTTCTCTACTTGTAATAGGGTTTGTAAGCGAACAGCATGGATCCTGATCAGACTGCGCAGATGCGCAGACTGGTCTGGATCCATGCTGGTCGCAAACCCACTATGTTGGTTTTGTCGTGACACAGCTCATATAGGAATCATATGCATCATACTTGACATAGAATAAAATGGAATATTTATAAAGGTGTCAGGAAAACAGGTTAATCTTATTCTATCAGTGTTAGGCATTAAAAATGTTTCATTGTAAATAACTAGATGCATGTAGTTATCTTGTATTGAATACACTTTTTCACATACTTCGGAAAAGAAATTAATTCACCAAAAGGTATTGTAACAAGACTTTCCCTATTTCAAAATTGCATGATCAGCTAGTTGGAAAATTAATTCTAATTTTTCAAACTTTTATACAGCCGTTCAAATGCAGTTGTGTTTCATGTTAATAGGGAAATTCTTTTAAAGAAAATTCCAAAATTTATAAGTTGAGTTTTATTTCTCTTAATTAGGTTTATAGCTCCTAATTGTGAGTCTGTAAGTCCTAATATGGAGTTACAAAGTTATAATGGAACTTACAAATTCCTAATTAGGCTTTTTATAATTCAATTTTAGGAGGTTTTAAGCTCTTTTTAGGAGTAACTAAGTCCTTAAATTTGATTTTGATTTCCCCAAGTTACACTTCTATAACTCCTTATTAGGAATTTGTAAGTTCTAATTAAGAGTTACAAAGTCCTAATTAGGTTTTTGTTTTTCCGAATTAGACTTGAGTGAGTCCCAATTAGGGCTTTTTATGTCCTAATTAGGCTTTTTAATCTTCTTATTAGGAATTAATGTTTTAAAGAGCATTAAGATTTGGCACTTAGGATGCTTCTGTTGTTTTCCACAGATTGATTCAGACCTAGTTTATAGAAACAATTGTTGCAATGTAGTAGAAATATAGACAGTAATGTTAATGCACTTAATCAAAGGTGTATGGATTAGTCAGATTAAATATTTCTTGTTAATTCATAAAAGATAGAATCATTGCATTAACTTGCAGCTTTGTGTGTTGTTAAAGTGAACTATGTTTGATGTTTGCTAACTGCTTGATAAATTGTCTGTAACACTGTAAGTTACAGCGGTTGTCTTATCTAATATTTACAATTTGTTTTTGAATATGTTCTATAACTTTTAATATTGGCTATATGAAGCTATATATTTAATTACATTTTGTATATGCTAGCATAATATAAACTCAGATCTATTACTGATTGTTTATTTGTTATTGGTATTTGTGCAGACTGAGGCCCATTGAAGTAAATTCTTTCCACAATCAAAATAAAGAATAAGCCTATTTAAGAAAGCATTTGTATTTTTGAGAATAGTTCATTTTCATATGAATATTAAATTTTGATTTTACAGTGTAAGGTCTGCTTAAAAAAGCGTTACAAATGACTTAAATGTTATTTATAATAAATGTATATGATAATATACATGTATTTAGTTATATACTTTCTAATATTTTAAGTTTGTTAACTCAGATATAATATTTTTTATGTGAATTACATGGACAATAAGTAATGTAACTTTATTATTCATAGACATGTGATATTTATCAATATTTTTTTCTAGATATGTTTACATCTGCTTCAGACTCCATTTATTATAAGATTTTCTTATGGCATTAGCAAAGGAAGCAGCTACCCCTGTAATAACACTCATAAAATCTCTAGCTTCCTTTATTTCTTATAAAAAAATACTGATAATAGTTTTTACAAAATGATGAGTATTAAAGAATATTTCAGATTCATTCAGGGACCTTGCCCCAGCGGTGCTGCCAGCTACTGCCCCACAGAACACTGCTACTGGTGGTAACAGGTAAAATTCTTCTATGTTTTCATCTTGTTTGGAATGATTTTTGAGATTTTTGAATGTTAAGACAATAATTATTTATGTTAGGAACATAGGGAGGTAAAATAACTTTAAAAAAAAAAAAAATAAATAAAAAGCAAAGTAGGAGTTAAACCCTTCACCTGCTAGAACACAGAAAGTGGTGAGCCTTTTGCCTACGGTATACAACCAGACCAGCCTGCACACCCATGAAGTCTGATCATGCATGCTCTTAACTGTTGATTGACAAGCTTTAAATTTTCATCTTTGATATTATACCCAAAATTGATTTTGGACTGCTCCAAAAATGGAAGCCGAACAATACTATTAAAATTAGGCTATTTTTAGAAATTCAGTAGGTTAAGGGTTGATTAAGCTTTAATAATTGATTAACATTGTGTCTCGTTGTCAATACATATTTACTGTGAATTGATTTAATTTTGTTGGTACAAATTGTTGTGGTTTTGTTAAAAAATTGATATTTTTTGGTTAAATTTGTGTATTTTATGTTTTTGCACAAGAGGAAAATACTACTAATTTCATACAAACAATGGAAAAGCAGACAAAATATAATTTCTATGGATCTGAAATTTGTGGATTGAGTCCTATACACGAAAACCACAAATATTAGTACCCCACAAATAAAAATGATTTTGCAGTATTTAAGTGAATAATAGACTTGCTCTGGAACAAAAGCACTTTGGGTTTTCCCAGCTACTCGGAGGGGTACAACCAAACTTTTACAGTCACAACTTAATTTGAAGATAAGCACAACAAAATGACTTATCTATTGTAAACGGTATATAAGTGCACTGTGAAGCTATAATGGTAAAAGTTTGATTGTACCAGGGGTTTAGGCTTGGAAAAAATTACATTTAACAAGTTCTGGATAACAACTTCTGACTGTATAATTGTATCAAACAACATGCATTTCTTTAAAAGAAGCTTATAGTGTTATATGTTGCTTTGTTCACTTATTTTATTGTATAAATCTTTATTATAATTTTACTTTAATGGTAGCTGCAATTATAATGCTTGCTTACAAAAAATGTTAACACATCATACCCAAATGTTTTAACTTATATCTGTTTTTTTTTTCCTAATTTTGAAATGTGTTTACATATTAATACATGTATCTGCAGTTAATGCTTATAAAATGCTTATTATAATAGAATGTTTTTATTTTCTAACTATCTAACAGTAGTTCAGATATGAGCGACAGTGACATAGATGCAAACCTAATACCGGTGACTGCACGGGCCACGCCCTATCTACAAGATAGCATATCAGCCCCGGTTCATCCACCATTCCATCATTCAACTTCTTACCATGCTCAAAATATATTTAAAAAACATCTTAGGTATGTGAATTTAAAATCATAGTCTCCCATTTAAAGGAGCTCAAAATGAGGTCTATTAAAGTCTAAAAATATAAAATTTGAAAGTCAATTTTACAATCATATATCAGCTCGGACCTTTTACACACATTAAATGGGCATTATTATAACTATGGTGGCTGATTTGTGCCATTCATGTTTTGGCCTCGCAACCCCTCCAAGCGAAAAGTCGAGAATTAACAAGTTAAAATGGTGGGGGTGCAGAGCAAAAACACACTTAATATTAGGGTTTAGTTTTATTTATTAAACTTCAGTCCGCCAGGGTGCTGAGCAATATTTAAGAAATAAAACAGTGGGATTGTGGAGCAAAAACATGCTTATTAGCCAGGCATGGGACAAAGATTAATAAATAAAACTTCAGCCCGCGCCCCGCTTATTAGTGTGTTTTTTTCCTGCGTCACCACCAAGCAAAAAGTCAAGAATTGACAAGTTAAAATGGCGGTGGCACAGAGCAGGATTTAAGAAATAAAATGGCTGGGGCGCGGAGTGAAACACGCTAATTAGGGAGGGCATGGGGCGAAGTTTAATAGATATTACTTTGCTCTGCGCTCCCACAAATTAGCGTGTTTTTGTCCAGCAACCCAGCCAAGCCAAAAGTTTAGAATTTACAAGTTAAAAGGACGGGGGTGTGTGGTGAAAACAAGCTAATTAGCTGGGGACTGATTAAATAAATAAAACATCACCCATCAAGGACATGGAGGGAGTGGCGGGGGGAAACATGAATGGCACAAATCAGCCTACAAATGGAACAGCAATAAAGACATCAAATTATATTAATGCTTAGAGCCTGAAGAGTAACTTATAGATGTGTTATTAAACAATGTTATAGGCACATTTGAGACAAACTCTAAATATTCTGACTTTAAATGTTCTCTTTGAACAACCAGATTGACTGTATTTATATAAATAGTAAAATCTATTCAAATATATTAAACCTTACATATATACAATGTATGCTTATTCTTTATCTATATAATAGTGTTTGGGCCTTTAAATAGTGTAATATTTCCGATGACATCAGTGGTCTGACAAAAAAATATAATGTCCAGCTGAGCTGGCACTTATATTTTAATCAGGCTGTTTAAATTTAGTGGTGAATTCCTGCCACATTACGCACATATAACATACAAGCTCGAAGTTTTTAGTACAATTAACTTGGAATTTTGTTTTTTAAAACAAAGTGATTTCTTTTCTTGTAGTTTTACTATTTTGTTCTAGTAAAGTGCAGTTTAAGATAAGAAATAGTGCAATTATTTTGGACCTCATCACATTATAGTGACCTCCCAGTCAGCCCCAATCATTTGGCTTTGGTCCTAGCTTTCTTTCAATGTTTGGGGCTGACTGGGAGATAACTATAATGCTAGAAGGCCCTCAGTGTTGGTTACTATTTCTTAAATATTTAAAAGTGTCCGCATGATTATGGATCATAGCAGCTTTGAAGAGTTGACTGTGACGGAGTAACAGATTACATGATTATCCTTTTATTTGTCAGATATCTTAATTTTTATAAAGAAAAAAAAAACACTGATAGATAACATTCGATTTTTCATTATTGGTTCAACAGCTTTTACAAAGCTTTAGTTGCTTTTACAAATTACTTTTCTTTCATATCATGTGTATTGGTATCTTCTGTTTCAGTTTACGTGGACCGTCAACAATGCGAACTGTCCAACGTCATATCACAAATAGTGCTCAGCCAACCATGAACTTCAGTAACAATCCTTCTAATATGATACGCTCAGATGTTATATCCTCCGGACAAAATGAGCAGCGAAGAATAGAAGAAAGAAAACGCAATCCTGGTCCATTGGTAATTATCTTTTATGTCTTAAATTTTTGAATAACAAACAAAAACAAAATGTATATTAAAAGTTACATGAATTTCATAGTCACATATATTGTTTTTTTCAGAAGGGCACTGTTTCTTTATTTTATTGATTGTTTCTTTTTGCTTCATTTTGAGGATCATGATTTCCACTTATATTGAAAAAAAGTTTAAGAAAAAGCACTTGAAACTGTTTGAGGAACATACCTTTAGTTAATATATACATGTAGTACAAAAACATGGTTTTAATTCCATAATGTATAAGGGCTGTTCGAAAAGTTAATGGAATTTTATCATAATAAATTTATAGTCAATCAATTTAAACATAAATTTTACATAATTTTCACTACACTATGAAATATATGAATAAATATTACAATACAGTAACTGAATTTGCTTAAATACATTTAATATTTCTTGACACTTTCAGTCTAGCTGTTAACTATTAGTCTAGCTGTTTACTAAGATCTGCCCCACTTTTGTACATGTACTAAAAGTTTAAAGATATAATACTTTTACATAAAATACATGTAAATCATTCTGCAGTAACCAAAAAAAAACAAAAACTGAAGGATGGCAAGCTGCATAATTTGGTTTAAAAGTATTATTGCTGTATAATATGGTTTATATTGTTACTAAGTAATTTGAGAAACCTGTAAGAATTTTGAAACATTCATGAATTGCATGTAAAATTGTCGAAAAATATCTATACATATGGCTTTTATGACAACATTCAACAAACTTTTTGAACAGCCCTTATGATATATATTAGATAGATTGATAAGGTTTTGTAAGTTTTGTGGAACTAGTTTTCTGTGTATAGAATATAAACATAATCAGAAATTAACAATTCTTCTTTTATAATAACCCCACCAAGTATTTTTTGGAAAGAGCTAATATTGGAATCACTTTATTCTATTTCATCATAATTGTTTATCTTCAGTAACTTTAAAACCAGTACAGGATTAAAATTGAGAACTTTAAATGTATAAAACAAAAGGTCACAAGTAATCTAAGTCAATCATCAGGCCAAGTTTCCCCACTCTTTATTGCACTTTGACAAAATTATGTCCCTTATTTTACTTAGAGAATGTCTTAAAATCTCAATTTTCTGTAATATCTCAGAAACTCTACCCAGTTTAACTTGAAACTTTAATTTCATATAAAGTATCACAAGTTCATGAGGTCAAATTTTAAAACAACTTACTGTTTTATAAGATTGTATGCTCTTGTCTACCGACTAAAGCCAACTTCTATCAAAGACATCATGATGGAAGGTGTATGCCAAGCATTCATTTCTAACCAGAATTTATTGCTAAAACAGTCATGTATTTTATTGCTTGTTGATGCTTTGATGTAACATTAGTAACATATTGTTATGATTTCCTTATCTTATTTAATACATATTTTAGACAGTAGATAATAGTTTTCTTATTATAACAGAGACATAATAATTAATAGAATTTATTAAAAGAAACAAAATATTAACTGATAATGACAACGATTTATGAGATGCAGTTATTTAGAAGCATGGCAAGTACTGACAACTAAATTTATAGATTATCTGATAAAGGGGTATCCCTGGCTGAGTTGTTAAAGTCTTTGGCTTCAAACCTGTGACTATGGGTCTAAATCCTGCTTTAGACTTTGGGATTCTTTCATTAGGTTATGAAACAGATGCCAATTCATGCCTGAAACAATGCATGGAGGAGCATGTAAGGTCTTCCACCATCAATAAAGCTTGAAGTCGCCATATGACATACAGTGTTGGTGTGATGTCCAAACCCCCAAAAAACAACAACAAAAACTGTCTGATATACAAATGTATGGCATAAATATTTTATACAGTTAGTGAGTAAAGCGTCACCAATTCCTAGTAATTCTTCTCTGTCTTCAGTATCAAATATCAAAGCAGAATATATCAGTAGATTCAGCATTAGAAAATAGTCCGAAGGGTAAGCTCAGTGGTGATTTTTTGCTTGTCATCCCTGTTCAGTTGCAGCATATTTTTTACAGTGTAGTTAATTGTCAATACAATATTGTTTGTTTGCTTTGTTTCATTTGAATGAGCTGTGTATAGCTCACCTAAGCACAAAGTGCTCAGTAGTGAGATTTTGTGATCACATGTTGTTCATTATTTGTTATTGTCTACTATTCTTTTTAAACAGCATCTTCTTCTAAATCACCTGGAAGAAGATGTTCTTTTGGTAAGCCACTACAAAGATATATGTAAATGGTATGAGTCAGAAGCACAAGTAGGTCACAGATGATAAAAATACATATTGGGAAGGAAATCTTCAAAGATCCCAGAAACAATATTGCCCAGAACTTTAAAAGCTCGCATCAGAAGGTCCTCTGGCTAAATTGGCTCCATTCTGAAAGTAACTTAGTGTATAAAGGCTTGTGTCACTGAGCTTAGTTTAGAGAAAGCATCAGATTAAACTAGATCCTCTGGAAAGGCAAAATTTTTCCATGACAGTCTTGGACATTAAGTCTATTAATAGTGATTTGTCTCTTACTCATGTGGGCTTAGTGTTTGGTCGCTTGTGGAGAAACTGGTAATATATTTGATTATATAAGTAAGTAAGTTACCAAGATATGATCAAAAATACATTTTACCTAATTTTAGAACAATAGATTCATCTACAAGTTTACTTACTTGTAAAACTACATTTTTGTGTTTGACCTTGGATGACCTTGAATGTGACCCTTTGACCTTTATTCTAGCTACGGATCTCAGGTGAGTGATATAGGTCCATCATGACTCTCTTGGTTGTGATAAGCATGATGTTTTGTATATGCTTTGCATGGCATTGTTTGTATTAACTACCTTATTGCCAATAGTTGATCTTCTTATCATTGCCAATATTTAAGAATGAATAAATTTTATTATTATTGATACTTTATTGTAAAACGATTTTAATGCATGTAAAAATAATACTAACTAGAAGATTATTATTTAATTCCTTCCATTTATGGTCTTTTGAAAGACATTCAAGGAGTCTTTAAAATTTTAAATGTTAAATTTTGTTGCTTGGTTATATGACTGACAGGTATCACAGGGGAGAGGTTGGGGGGGGGGGGGATAAATATATGAAAACTGGAATACAATCATTAATCTTTATCTTGATAAAGTATTGTTACTAAAAGGGACAGTTTTAATGCTAGTCTAACATTTAACATAAGCTTATTTTTAAACGTAATTTGGGAAAATAATCAATATGTGAAGTTGTTGCTTGTGGTTTTTAGGCTGTTTAAATAATCAATCAAACATGACAACTATTTACCACCAGTAACTTTACTTATTCTAAGATGATATAGAAAATAAAAAATAGACTTTGTTTTCAAGTTTGCGCATATGAATTTCAGGTCAAATTTGCACTATTGATTAGAACTAAATAACTAATTTGTTTTGATAACATTGGTGAAACAATTAAGACATGCATTTCCTTGAATTCTGTATGAAATGTTGTAATTTTTTAAATTTACATTCATTGATCATATAAGTTATTGCTGCTTTTTTATGTTGAATAAAATTTATGTATATTATATATGAATTTAATATTTTGTATATGATGAAGTAAACGCAAATTAGTCATATGTACTTGAATAATTATTATAACAGATAAAAAGGTGTAAAGGTAAATGAAAATTTCATTTTTTCAGACCCATTTTGGTGATGAGTCTGTACCAAAGGTATACCAGAGTGTATTGACTCTTTATCCAGTTTCCATTGGTGTAAATAATAGTAACTTTAACTGTTTGTCGTGTAACCATTTATAATAATATTTCATGATTACATAATTATATACTAAATTACATAAACATAGTAATTCATTTAATGAAACAGATAGTAAATTATCACTTTAGACATAGGCCATTATTGCACACCCTTGATTTATTTTTGTGTGTGTTTTTCTTTTAAATTGATCTATAAATCCTTGACATTAAGAAAAATGTTTAAAAAAGTTAAATAAGTGAAAAGTTTATTATTACAGTAATTTTTTTTACCTTATGTAATATATTATGCAGTTACTAATTAATTGCACAATTTCTGGGTTGTAGAAATTTGAACTTTCAGTCCCTAAAATTGTCCCCCAAAATTTTTTTATTAAGTAGGTAAATATTTAAATATAAAGAAATGATATGTTTATCACTTATATAAGTAGTTATTTCAGGTAATTATACAATTTATATGTAAACAATATAAATCTACACAAATACATAGGTAGAATATTTATATTAAGTATCCTGAGGTAGTTGTTATCATTGATTTTGTGTTGATTTTACAGTAAAAAAACAAAACACATTTAATTTAGTTGATAAATTATTAAGCTGATTCTATTACTTTGTTTACAGATTATAGACTATAGGAACAATAACAGTATACTTACTGACTGCACAACATTCCAGTAGTTGTAAAAGTTTGAATTATAAATTTCATTGATATGGGCTATATTTAAAATGGCAATGTAAAAACTGAGTGAATATTTATAAGAACAAATTGTCTTAATTTCATAGGGAGGTGGCTTACGAATGTGGAGGTCAGTTTCAGCTGACACAAGGTCAAAGGTCTTTGGTGGGAGTGAAGGGTCAAGGCCATTTTTATCAAAGTTGTCAAGGTCACCAATAAGTACAAAATTGGTAACAGCAAGTGTATGTGGTGTCTCGGATGCCATGCGTACCAGCAAGTAGAACAAGGTTCGAATACTAAGCGTGGCAATTTACCCACTGTGTCAGAAAGGGTGTTCTTTTTTCCCCCAATAGCTTCACGGTTTTCCTGCATTTATTGTATTTTTCTTTATTTTAGAGCTTCACTCATATCATTTCAGCAATATTAATTTTTTTTCAGACACTTGTATCACTAATTTTACAGTGGCATAAAGGGCGAGAAAGGCAATATTTTATTTACTGTGTGCCCACTTGATAGCTATTACATGGCTGCGCATAAGTTAAATGTATTATGTGTGCACACAATAACTAAGTTATTGCTCAAATGGTAGTTATATGTTGCCACATGATATGTATTATGTGCATACACATAAAGTATTATATGGCCATGTGATAGATATAATGTGCACATAGCACATATCACATGGTGACGTAAAAGCTATCGAGTGCACACATAAGGGCTATGGCATGGCGCGTAATAATAGTGCATGTGCACACAATAAACAAAAGATTTCTAATTGTCCCCCTTTAAGCCACCATACTAATGCAGTTGTAATTTATTTATTTTTTTATCATTATTATCTATTTGTATGAGTCACTGCTTATTTATATTCCATTTATCTTTTATAGCTGTTTTTATTACTACTCATAGATCTCTTTTTCTTTTTATAAAATTTCAGACATTTGATTTATTTAAGAAATTTAAGGTGAGAGATATTCTCAAAGTATATACATGTACAAGTAGAATCAATATTATATACAACTTATATACATGATATTTTAAAGGTGGTTATTCACATTTGAGCCGTGTCATGACAAAACCAACATAATGGGTTTGCGACCAGCATGGATCAGGATCCATGCTGTTCGCTTACAAACTCTATATCAAGTAGAGAAACTGATAGCGAACAGCATGGATCCTGATCAGACTGCGTGGATGCGCAGGCTGGTCTGGATCCATGCTGGTCGCAAACGCATTATGTTGGTTTTGTCATGACACGGGTCATTTATGTACTTCATATATAAGTCTCTCATTTAATTTCAAAAGGAAAGAAAAAGCCGACAAACATGGAATTAGATCATGTTAAGTTGTTTACACAAGAAAACAGCACCGAGGATTCTGATTTTTTACATTTAATCATCTAGGTCCCTTTAATTATCATTTAAGACATACATTGTTGTAGACTAATACTGTATGTTTACTGATATTAAAGTTTGACCACAAAATGAATGTTTTTTAGTTATTTTAGGAGAAAAAATAGCTAAATGAATCACGTCATCATCAGAGATTATTGTAGTTATGTCCCTTAATTTATTGTGAAGTTTCAAGACTGTCAGATTTTCTGCTAGAAAGTGAATAAGCACCTTTAAAATGCGAAGTTATTATCATTCACCTTTACAGCAAGATTTCTCACCAACATTCCACAAAATCCTTTTTCTTGCTTGACATTATTAACCTTACAAAGGAATTTACCTACATTAAATGTAAAGTGGCAAAAGGTACATTTGTGCTATTTTGCTGTCCGTGGTCAAGTGGTTAAGGTTGTTCACTTCAAACCACTTGCCCCTCATCAATGTGGGTTTCATAAACTCAGGTGCCTTATAATTTTGTGCCTGAGAAGATCGCCTGAGGTCCTCGTCTACCAGTAAAACTGGAATGTTGTCATTTTATAGCCTCTGTAAAATATTTGTGTAGAAAAAACCTTACTATGACGGGAGAAAATTTCAGAATGGAATCTTTATTCATTGCTCAGTAATTGTGAGAATTTAAGTTGAGATGAAGTTTGGGCATCCATCATGCTACAAATCTTGTTATTAAAATGCTGTAAAGCAGTTGTCATAAAATTTAGCCATTTACGAGGTCTATGATTTTTTGTGAGTTACTAAAATATAGCAAAAGTTCTCATACCCTGTTGTTTTTTATTTCAAAAGAGTCTCCAAGATTTAATAAAATGTCAATACTACATGTACTTTTTGACATGGTGTAATTTCTTTAGTGATACTGTTAGAATTAGTTACTAACCATGTATTTATGCTTGCTACTAAATTATACATGTATATAAGTGTACATTACTAATTTAATAGCATGTAAGTTACTAATTATTTATTTGTACCGTGATAAGTAAAGACTTTTATGAAAAAATTGTGAAGAAAATTTGTACTAATAAAGATACTCAAGAACTTTGCAAATGGTGGGTTTTCACATCTAATCCAGGGTGGGTTGAAACAACTTTAATAATAAGTGATAGCATTGATCACCCATTTGTGAATGGTAATGCACTCTGAATTTATTATGGTATAAGTTTGTTTGTTTTTGGAAACATGGTTTTGAAAGACCCTGTTGGAATTAGATGGGAAAAAATGAAATGAAATGCAGAGTTCTGGTTATTAATAACATCTATTTGTCTCCAAGACAAGCTTTACCAGAAAATACCAAGTAATGGTTTAACCAGGTTTTTCTACATTGGAGTTTCTGTGTTTTGAATAGACTTCTAAATGTTTCATCATAAGTTTCTTGGCCTAATGTTGTACCAAAAAGAAATATATACAATATAACTTTATTGTTTAAAGAAAACAACTGCTGTAACATTTCAGTTCCTGAATTCATCATCTAGTAGGTTGGAGGAAAGTGCCAAGTTGGTGTACAGTAATAATACAAAATTAATGAGGTCAAGGTCAGAGCTTAACCTCTCAAAGGACTACATGAAAATATTGCTGGAAAGAATCAAGAATAATCCAGTGGCCTAGAATTAAACCGCTTAGTCTTTTTGTAAGCGCAAAACACTGAGTTATATGCACTTGGTTTTGCTGTTTGTCTGGGTTAAGGAAGGCACATATGTTATACCTATGTTAAAGAAAACATGCACATAAGAACGATTTAAATGTTACCTGCCAGTATTTTCTATAATTATGTTTTTTCCTTCTTTTAAATGATGAATAGAACAAAAATTGAAATTTGAGTGCTCAAGTTTTGTAAAATGTTTCAAAGACTGACCAATTAAGACAGGTTATTACACACCATTCATTGTTTTCTGTAAAATATCCCTTCTTTATAATTGATATTTATAAAATAACAAATGACACAATGTCTGTTTATTTTTTTTTGAAAATAGATAAAATACCAAAGAATTCAAAGTGACCCTCCTTGATTATAAAAGAGGAACTTTGGAAATATTGAAATTCTAGGTTTTTAACCAGGTTTTCAATTTTGAAAATCCTGGTTATTAGATTGGGGTATGGCGGGCGGATGGGCGGATGGGCGGATGGGCAGATGGGCGGATGGGCGGATGGGCGTCAAACGAAATTGTGTCCGCTCTGTAACTCTTCAACCCTTTGAAGAATTTTGATGAAACTTCAGACAAATGTTTACCACATCAAGATGACGTGCAGAACGCATGTTCCGCATGGCTGGCTCCAAGGTCAAGGTCACAGTGACATTAACATTGAAAATCCTGTCCGCTCTGTAACTCTTCAACCCTTTGAAGAATTTTGATGAAAACTTCAGACAAATGTTTACCACATCAAGATGACGTGCAGAACGCATGTTCCGCATGGCTGGCTCCAAGGTCAAGGTCACAGTGACATTAACATTGAAAATCCTGTTTACATGATTTTAACTTGAAATTGTGTCCGCTCTGTAACTCTTCAACCCTTTGAAGAATTTTGATGAAACTTCAGACAAATGTTTACCACATCAAGATGACGTGCAGAACGCATGTTCCGCATGGCTGGCTCCAAGGTCAAGGTCACAGTGACATTAACATTTTGAAAATCCTGTCCGCTCTGTAACTCTTCAACCCTTTGAAGAATTTTGATGAAACTTCAGACAAATGTTTACCACATCAAGATGACGTGCAGAACGCATGTTCCGCATGGCTGGCTCCAAGGTCAAGGTCACAGTGACATTAACATTGAAAATCCTGTTTACATGATTTTAACTTGAAATTGTGTCCGCTCTGTAACTCTTCAACCCTTTGAAGAATTTTGATGAAACTTTAGACAAATGTTTACCACGACAAGATGACGTGCAGAACGCATGTTCCGCATGGCTGGCTACAAGGTCAAGGTCACAGTGACATTAACATTGAAAATCCTGTCCGCTCTGTAACTCTTCAACCCTTTGAAGAATTTTTGATGAAACTTCAGACAAATGTTTACCACATCAAGATGACGTGCAGAACGGCGCATGTTCTGCATGGCTGGCTTCCAAGGTCAAGGTCACAGTGACATTAACATTGAAAATCCTGTTTACATGATTTTAACTTGATTTGGCAGTCAAAGGTCATATCATCTTTTTGGAGGTAATTTAAAAAAGATATGATATATTATTTCATGTCTACTTTGTAACTTGTTTTTCATTATAAAGAATTATCAATATAATTATAGTGAACAAATTCTTCTGTGCTGAACTCGTCCTACATTTCTTCAACGGATTTTGTTCAAACTTTCACAGAAGCTTTGTCATCAAGCACCCTGGCACATATTGTCGGGGTTTTGTGATTGGATAGTTTTTGACCTAATTATGGCCCTTTGTTTTTTTCCTTATACATAATATTATAGTGAACACTTCTTCAGTGGCAATTCCTCCTACATTATTCATGTTTTACATTGCACATAGTTACATTGTTTGTTGCTTGTATTTGTATTTCAAATACAACATATTTATCTACAATGGTGATAATTGAAAACCTGGTTTCATGGCATTGCCATGTTTCTTGTTTCTCTGTAATCTCGTTTCTTTCGGATCTTCCAATCCTTTTTTGTGTTTCTAGGATACAAGGGAGCTTTCCTTCTGTTACTTTTTTAATAGAATTTCTTGTTAAATAAGTAGTTTTTACAATAGTCTTACAAATACATGATCTGGTCTACAGAAAGAAAGGTTATTTAGGCTTGTGTTTTGTTGTTGATTTCTGTTTCTTTGTTTGTATGCAGGTATAGAGGCATTGTGTTTTCTTATACCAAATCTTATAAAAACTTTGAACATTTAAAGTATAGTTTATTTTGATCATTTAAGTACATGTAATTGGTTTATTATAAACTTTAAGCGAATAAATGGTTGTTATTTTGACAGATAGATATACATCACATACAAAAGTCAATTTGTTTGACAAAAAAAATTCTGTAAAAATAGGTGGTGAAAAAAAAATTTCTATTATTTTAGGACAATGAACAAATTATTAAAAGATGCTATTTGTTTAAAAAGTAAACTACAGATGTGTTAAATTTTGTTAATTAAGAATTAAATGACATGAAAGTTTTCATCAATGAAACATGATTTTATCTTTCAGCAATTATCTATTATAGGTTAAAAGAAAATGATCAATGTTTTGTTGTTTGTATTTAAATCTTTACTTATATAAAAAGATTACCGACATGTATTGACACCCAAGATTTTTTATATAAATGTCATAAATACTGTATATAAAAATTGTGAATATGAGAGAAATTGAATCAGAATATTTTGTTATATAAAACTTTATTTTTTCTATTACAGATAAGAGGGCTCAAAGTGCCTGGACAAGGGGAATGACATTCTTCTAGCAGGAATAATTTACTCGGTCAGCAACCAGAAACACTCGCCTTACCACCAGTTCTACAAAAATACACAGAGATAGTACTACAATACAAAACTGTTATACATCGGATATACTACAATACCACTATGCTTTGGATACAGAACTCGCAAATATATAATTAAACTTTCTTCTAAATGCCAAAAAATTAAAACTATTATACAAGTAGATGGTAGACCTTGACACCAATTTTTTACTATAGTATTATCATAACTTATCACATAGATAAATAAGAAACAATAACAACATTTTATGCAAATTTCCTGTAGACTTTGTGAATATCAAACTATTATCTCAATGCAAAAATATGTTTCTATTTTTAGAAAAAGTTTAGTTTTTTAGCTTTTTTTAGCTGCTGCAAATAGCAATTTTTACAATTTAAGAAAAGTACATTTGTGACATTTTGTGTATGTATCAACTGTAAGAATAATTTATTGTAATAGTTAATTTATTGTAGTAGTTAACTGTTTTTAGCAATAATACATTGATAGCAAGTCTATACAATTTAAGAGTTTAAAGAAAAAGGTTGATCAAATCAATAACTTAGCATTTTCTAATTAAATTTCATCATCTTCGTCACAAAATATGATGCATTATGGTATTTCATTTTAACTTCTATTATTTAACTGAAGATCAGCATTAATTTTATTTCTATACACAGCATAATGCTGCCTTAATAACATAAATTCTTGTGAGAATTCTAGAGAATAAACATTATTATATATGGTAATATATATTTATTTATTGTTTTATAACATTTTAATTTATTTAGTTGAATTTTCCCATGTGTAAATTATTATACCATGTACATTACATAATCACTTTTATCAGATCTTATTTTCCAAAAATGTGTCTATGTAAATTGATTTTTTATATATATTTCATATATTATATACACAAGACATTATACATGTATATATATATATAATGTCTTTATTGTTACAACATTTTGTACTGATTTAAATTGATATATTAAATTTCTTTTAAAAGAAGTGCATTTGTTCAGCTTTTATTGGTTTTCTTGTTATATATAGCTGAAGAGATTATTTCACTTAAGATATGACCACCATAACTGAGGAACTATAAAGAACTGAAAAATTGACAACATTGGTCAAATTTATACCTTAAAGGACACCTGCATGCAAAATTTAAACAAACTTTACCTTTCAGAGGTCGAGTTAATGGCCACTTTAAGCTCGTTTAGGATGTTAGAAGGCCCTTTTTCAGAAATGAGGAACCTTTAAATAATCTACTTTATAATCCTTATGCAAAAATGATTTCCTATTAATTATTGTTAAGAAACAAATGATAACATTCAGCAAACGATCTTCACACAAACAAGGGCCATCAGTGATGCCATTTGTCGCCTTGTGATAACCTATTACATGTGGCAGCTAAAATGTGGTAGGTGACAAAAAAATCATTTACAGGGCAAAGCGCATTTTTTATTCAAGGGCCATAACTCGACCAAAAATCCTTTAACCAGAAAACCTGTGTAATATGTCCAAGTACTTGAGCTACTTATCAATCCTGTTGTTTCATTGGAATTGCATTATTTAGCCAATAAATACCTCTATTAATTACATATGTATATAATTAAAATTGAACACTTTTTTCTTTCCAAAAGGGATATATACGAGAGATACATAAATTATGTTAAAGAAAAAAAAGTAAACCCTTTTGGGGTTTGAAGCTACAAGCCCAAGTTTAAATGCAGTTAACAGTAATTATAGCCTTTGAATACTCTTCAAAGCAAAGGTAATGCATTAGGATGGTCATACCTTAATAGCATTTGCTACAACCAGATTACAACATCTTTTATACTTTCAAACTGTATATGGACGGAGGGCAAACCTAAAGTCCCCTCATGTGGGGACTTATAAGACTTAGTCGTTTTCTGGTGACCTTTCAACAATTGCTTGCAGTTTACCCTGAATATTGCTTAAGGAGATAAAAGAAAATTTGCAAAAAAGTTCAGATTTCTTTATTTGTAGTGACATTATGCTCTTTTCTTCCAATTGTCAAGCTGCACGTAATATCTCGAGGATATTTACAGAAATGTTTTCGAGCCAAGGGACTTGTTTATTGTTCATTTGAAGTAAATTATAAAATTGAAAGAAATTACAGCAAAATAAAAACTGATTTTTACTTCCACCTTTTATAATTATACCCTTGGATGGGCATATTGTTACTTGAATGTAGATATAAGAAGAGACATAAACACGATTTAATATATATTTATTGTTTATTAAAATACAAAATTTCATCAAAATATTCTCATATTGTCATGGAGTAACTAAAATGCAACAGTCATTTGTATCTCCTCTCCCAAAGAAATAGCAAGAACTTACTGATTTTTAACCTTTTTATTACTGTAAAGTTCCTTCCTTACATAAATACCGTAGATGATAAAATCTGCTTTATGCCCTACCTCCCACTTCAAATTGGTTGGAATTCCCGATCTTTTGTTGCCAAAACAAAACCTGCACACTGACTAGCATTGCAGGGACAAACTGAAGGTACAACTTGTCCCCTACTATACCCTGGGATGAGAATCTGGGGCAACAAATGACTGATGCATAAGTACCATATATCTTCAGCTTAGCTCAATGGGTAGCATTAGATTTATAGTACATTCCTCAGACAAAGGTGAAATTTCTCTGCGATAATTGGTCATGGACATTGTTACAGTCTCATGGTCCTTTGTCTCGCACTGCTGATTCAAAAATCATGCCCAATTAGTACATGTAATTTGTTATTTGCAGAGAAATTGCTAATTAATTATGGTTAGTGATCAAGAAAAGCTGGTTAGTTGGACTAATCTCATAGATACGACCAAAAATTTATTGAAATTGACATTAAACCAGACTAACATTTATACATGTCCTCAACAAAAAATGTAATTCATTCAGTAAAGGTGTTTTTAATTCTTCAAAGAATTTACACAATAGATCAATACATTAAGTAATGCAAAATTTGAGTCCGGACAGGGTGAATAGCAACCTTAAGTCTGCTTCAGTTTTAAACGATGAATTAATGATTTTATTTTGATATAAAATCCATTTATATAGATGATATTTGTTTAGTTCAGTGTAAGATCGGAATATATTTCACCGAGTGAGCACCAAAAGGTATATTTCACGAGTGGCGCAGCCACGACTGAAATATGAACTTTTGGTGTTCACAAGGTGAAATATATTTCGATCTTACACTAAACTAAACAAATTTTCTTTTTATTATATGCAAATAAACGTTTTAAAAAGACATTAAATCTAATACTGAATGAAAAGCGCGCCAAATAATTATACAACATGACGTCATTTACGACGACACGTCATTAAGTTGGTACCCAGTACTGTGCACGCTGGTATTTCACTGAAACAACGTAAGGGGCTTAAATTCAAAACAGTGAAATTATCAAAGTGGTAATTTCACTGTTTCAAACAGTGAAATTACCAGTTTTCTTTCACTGATACATTTCTATAAACCACCGAAAACCATGTAATAAATAAAACAAACATTTTGAATGTTGGTCAAAATCTACCATATCACTTAGTAGGAGATCATTGTTCACAGTCAAGAAAAAATTGACAATCATCATTGTATCACAAAAGCACACATAAAAGCTATGTGCTCAGATGAGCAAAATATTAATGGTTTTCAGCTAATCTATAAGACATGAGCATCTATAATAATGAAAAGTGCAATGAAAAATGGTACAAAAGTAAAAGAATTAAAAAAGGGTACAATAATTTGTTAATTTTTTTTTTTCTGTCAGGAGGAAAATTATCACAATAATTATCAAGACACTATTAAAAGATTACATTTTCTTTCATAAAATTTTAATCATAGACTAAAGTTTGTTCCTCAAAATGTTTTTTCACTCTTTCTTGGATTTCCCAGCACCTCCTATCACTTTGTTCCTTTGTGCAAGCATGTGCATGTACAACTGTGGGAATACTGAAATACAATTATAAATACCATGTGATCAAACTAATCAAAAAGTGGTGGCATGGCCGAGTGGTTAACTCGTCAGACTTGTTATCTAAGGATCATTATAATATATATCCATGTGGTTCAAACACTGTCAGGGGCGGACAATTTTTGCTTGAGCAAAAAAATTTACACTTATTGCTTAGTACTTGTTGATTCAAGCAACAGATATGAGAGCTTTAAGCTTCCAACACTTTCAAACTAAAATAAATTCTGTATAAACCAATTATTTTAATTGATAAGTACGTATAGGCTAAATGATACAAATTTCTTGGTTAAATTTTCCTAGTATAATTATACCTTAGAATATAAGAGAACATAAGTATCTAAAGGACATAAAATGAAGCAGTGTTGATCAAATTAGTTCTCATAATAAACATCATGAAATAAATGTCATTTCTTTTAGCATTCATGCAAAGTTTCAGTAAAATCTGAATAACCTATCTGGACATGAATCTGGACAAATGTCACTCCTGATCCTATTGGATGGGATAATTTCTGATCACAGAATCAGTGTAGTAAGTCACCGACCTGAATTGCCACACAACTCCCAATTACCGTATAAGTGGTTTTTTCTGCGGTGACTTTATTTCTGCGTTTTCTGCGGTCAGTTTCAGCACCGCAGAAATAAAAACCGCAGAATATTTCTCCACGTTTTTTTTTTTTTTTAAAAGAAATGAGTCCTACATTATGACCTGTTTCCTTTAAAGGAATAAAGACTAACGGATTATAACGGTTAGCGGGTCATCGAGTTATATAAAATTGATTTCGGCTAAATATGCAATATGTGCATGTAAGGATGTAATTGTTGTTAATTATGCCAATTTATGAACAAAGAAATTCAAACATCATAGTGTTTGCCTGTACGCTAAAGGGTTTGTTTACCACTAAATCATTAAAACCATTTAAACCCTTATACTGCTAAATAATCGTCGTATACATTAATTGTTGTCTGATTTACGATAAACTTCTATCAATTTTATAAAATTAAAGATACTACCGTGGTATATTTTTCACACGTCATTTCACACTGATTTAAAGATGCAAACTGTCTATTGATGCACATTATATTTGTTTGTAATTACTATATAATATAGTTCTGCAGTGACGACGGTAAACAAAATTTTAATGCGAATGTGTACATGCAAATAAAATAGGTAAAGTAATGTGACTTAGACTTTGATAAGATGAGCCGCAGTATTTAAATCACATTTTGTCCAAAGAATGTGCCGCAGAAATTAAGTCCGCAGAAATAAAAACATGCCAAAATTTTGAAAAACCGCAGAATTTGGAGCCCGCAGAAAAAACCACTTATACGGTACTAGTTTGAATCTTGCCACCTAGGTTGAATTCTGTCATGTGATCAAGATATCTAAATGTAATATTATATTAGTTACACTGTACACTAGACACTGGCAGAAAATTAACATTCAGTGCTCAATAACTTTTGACTTGAACCCTGCTGGATAGCTTCCTCACATAAAAGAATTCAAAGTTCCTAGTGGAATTCGAACCCACAGCTGTGAGGGAGGAGTGGTTTGAAATCAAGGAGCTTAACCACTCAGCCACAAACCCCCATAGTTGATTTCTTTCTTTGAATGTGCAATAGATGGCAACTGTGCGTGTTCATTTTATAAATTTGAAAACTCAAATCATAAATTGATAATGTTTATTCAAATCTACTAGTATTTACTTGAAACACTGATTAGTATCAACTTATTTGTTTATCAAGATATTTATTATTTACATGGAATGTGAATAATATTAGCATCAACAAGATCATGGACCTTTCCGATTTTTAGCAGTGAAAAATTTAGTCTGGCATTTTCTTTAAACTGCTAGATTAACTGCTCGCAAACAGTATCACAAACAAAACCATGTGTTTTTTTTTTATTATTCAACTAGGTCAACCAGTGAAGCAAAAGAGATACTCAAGAACTTTGCATAATAAATTTTGTGTTTTTCCCAGCTAATCACAGTATACTTTTACAGTTCAATTTTGAAAATATTTTGATAGTAAAAGTCACAACTTCATTGATAACAGTTGTGCACTGTGAAGCTTTAAAAGTTAAAGTTTTATTTGTTCACCAAGGATAAGATAGGAAAAACTCACAATGAATTTTTAATAACATCTACTGGATAGCCCTTCAGCCAATTTGCATAAAACTATACACAGTAAAGGTCCATTTTCTAAAAAGAGTGTGAGATAATTTACCTGGAATGTACATGATCATAAAAAAGATGAGGAAGTAAAAGTAGCTAAATGACATGTTGGCAGCATTGGGTAATTCAACGGAGTACATCTTTGACTCTCTCACAAAATCTAAACCACTCCAAATAGACAACAATTCACCCTGCAAAAAAATCATTATTACTAAAATCAACAACAATTCATCCAGAAGAAAGTAATAATTGCTATATAAACATGCAAATTTAGTCTGAGTGAAAATATCAGAAAGAACCCCTTCAATTTAATGACGTAATAACACCAAGCTTTTGATGTGACTCTTAATTTTTAAAAAATCAAGGGAACAAGAATTAATCTTTCTGTGCCCGTTTGGGTTGATATTTCCAAAATGGATTACAGGCTGTAAACGTCCAAACGGCATATTTTTGTTATAAAAGAACATTTCGAAAAAGACTTGCCTTCAATGTTTGGTTAAAGATCTGTTAAGATTATGTTCACCAAGAATATGGGAATTTGAAATATTAAATTTCATAAATCCTTTCACTATGCAGTCATAGCACAACAGCCAAAATTTCAATGTGCCCCAATTTTTAAACAATAAAAAAATATTAATATTTTTTTCATCAAGAATCTCATATTAATTAAATAAAATGGTGGTGTTTTCCCAACTTATCAATGGGTACTAATAAACCTTTACAGTTACTACTGTACTTAGTATCAACATCAAAAAGTGACATGTTGGACACTCTTCATGTGATAGGAAGTGCACAATGAAGCTATAACAGTTAAGTTTGTTTGTACCCTGGGATTACATTGGAAAAAACTGTATTTGCAGATTTCCGGACAGTATCTTTTCTGAAAGGAGCCAATCAATATGCCTCAGACCAAGTTTGAAGTAATTTAAAATATAACTTTACTGTTCACTGGAGATATATTCTAGATCTGTTGTACATTTACCATAAAACCCTTAAATCTGTGTTAATGTTCTAATTTGTCTTTTAAATCAAACTTCATTTAAGCCAGGCCAGTGTCAATTAAATTTAACAAATACCCAAAATTCTCCATTCAATTGTCTCTTAGAGAAGAGTATCTGTTGGCATATGGATCAAAATTATAAATAAAAATAGTGTTTGATGGAATATGGATCACAAAAATGAAAAAAAAACTGAAACAAATTTTTATGTGAAATATCAACAAAAATATTAACTTACAGTGACACCAATTGGGTACAGCACGATGAAGAATGTGTACCTGGAAATAGAGAAACATACTGCCATAAAATCAAAGGGTAAGGGCACATGCAAAGTTACATCAAAATTTTCGTTACATCAACATTTTAGTCATATAATTCTACTTCTGTAACAAATATCTAAGCTTTTCACCTCCTTCTTTATAAGATTTCTTACATTAGTTTTCTCAATAAGTCTCTATTACCTACTGTAGGGTGGTCCGGATGATTCTTAGCACCAGCAGTACTATTGTCAATATAACAAAGATATGGTTCATAGCCAAATAGTTTAAATATTACTATTTATAATGATTTTGACTATTCATTTTTAAGAGGTAATGCAGACATGCCCAGTTTTCCCTGTGAGCCTTTATTAAATGTACATATATCTTCACCTTTGTGCAGTAACGGGTTAAGTCCTTCTAACCAGTTATTGCACTTAGGTGACGATATACAGTTACAAACACATGATTTATGAAACAACAAAATATTAAGTATAAATATATCTATATAAAACCAAAGAAAATAATGCTTAATTCAGGGTTTTCTGTTTTTTTTTACCCCTGACATTTTGAGCTTATATCCATGAGAAAATATACATGTATTTCTGTCTAACCTACACCACTGTAGAGTATATGGCACTTCACCAATCAGACTGAACATGTAGAAAGCGTATCTTATAATCTCAGTGACACTCCATGCAAACACAAACATTGATACACCAGTCACATTCTGTACCTAAAATAAACAACAACATATTGTTAGCAGCAAAAATTGATCATGATCTGTGTTTTAAAATACTTACACGTCAAATATAAACAAAATCACTGAAATACTTCAAAAGTTATTCTGTGGAAGCCAATAGATTCACTTCAAACAATTTCATAAAATGGGGCATCAGAGCCAAAACACCAACTTTGGGGAAGGGGCCTCAGCCTTTTTCTTTGGGAAAAAAATGCGTGATTTTGGCATACTTTGGGTAAAGGGGTCTCAAATTTAACACAAACTTTTAACAAGTTCTTCAAAATAGACAAGCAAAAAGCACTGGGAAATACAAATAAGGCAGTAAAAGACCTTAATTCAACACCATCATTTAATTTTTTTCTAAATTCTATGGGAAATTTTTAAAGACTGGGGAATTTTGAGGACCAAACTAGGGAAAAAAGAGGCTAGTTTGGTTGGGGAAGCAGCCTATATTTGGCCTCTACAAAGATAGGTTTTTAGGCCCATGGCATAACAATTAATACTGAGTTGATTGAAGCAAAGATTGAACTCGACTTGTGTTTTGATATAACATAATTACATGCCACACAAAAAAACAATCACTGAAATACTTCAAAAGTTATTCTATAGAAACCAATAGATTCACTTGAAAATTGCTCAAAAAGTGGCTTAACTCTAACAATAATAAGTTGTTCGAAACAAAAAATGAACCTGAACTTAGTTTTCATATAACATACTTACATGCCAAAATTAAACACAATCACTGAAATCCTTAAAAAGTTATGATGTGGAAACCAAATGTTTATGCACAGACAGTCAGACGGACGAAGTCATATGATACGTCCCAAAGGTCTTCAGGAATCATTTACATGTACACCTGATTTTAGCTTGTGACTTCTAAAATATAACGCTTTTCCTTCTTTACCTATATAATGTGACTTCAAATGTCAGACATTTTGCAGTCTCTAACTTCCAAAATTTGGAACTTAATGGGTGTATATAAGTGTGAGTTTTTTAGAAGTATTATTTATTATGATAATCTAAAGAATAAGTTAATGTTATTACCACTACTATACTATAGGCGACTCCCCATGTGAGCATTACTCTTGAAAAGACTTGGAACGCTGTTAACATCACGCTGGATCGAACAAATCCCAGCGCACAGTGCAATATCTGAAACACAAACAAAATGAGGTTATAAAAGGTTACTGCCTTGTCTATGCTCATCTTTGGGTAAAATACTTTTATTGCAAAAAATTTATTAAAATCTAGTAAATTCTCCCTGAATATGTCTAATTTGAATAAGTGAATGTATAAACTATGTTTGGGAACTGCATTCTCTATTTCTTGTCAAATTAATTTGGTCTTTTCTTATAAAAACTGCCAGTTTTTTAATGACACTTTGTTATCACACTGTGATTGCCTGTAGTGTGTAGAGTTTAAAAATTAAATGTAACATATTTTCTCTTTGTATATTCAAAAGATGTTTATTTTGCATTTCTTTATTGCAACTGTATTGTAATTATCAGTGTTTTCAATATCAAATTTGAGCATATTATATCTTAAATTGATGCTTTTCACATATCAATTATTACCTCCCCTGGTCATCCTTCAAATATAATACATAAAATGTCTAGATAAGAATCTCTCACAATCCACATAAATCTTCATGAAAAATGAGCCGCGTCACGACAAAACCAACGTAATGTGTTAGCGACCAGCATGGATCCAGACCAGCCTGCGCATCCGCGCAGTCTGATCAGGATCCATGCTGTTCGCTATCAGTTTCTTTACTTGTAATCGGGTTTGTAAGCGAACAGCATGGATCCTGATCAGACTGCGCGGATGCGCAGGCTGGTCTGGATCCATGCTGGTCGCAAACGCATTTTGTTGGTTCTGTCATGACGCGGCTCAAATGATAAAACTCTTTTTATATATTGGTGCCATGATAATAACAACTTCAATCATACATGTATGTATTAAAGAATTTGACAATGCACATAAATCAGCTGATAATATTGATTTTTTTTCCATATTTTGTAATTATATTATATAGAATACATATGTTTTAATCTTGGCTGCTTTTGGTTTATTTTTAAGTAAAAACTGTTTGCTATTCAATAAATAAAATGTGTTGTTAAGGCAAAGAGCATGAGATAGTGATACATGCATCTAATGTTTGAAAAATATGTACATGACATGTATATTGAAATGTATATATAAATAATCAAATGTACCTCAAGCACAGCTGCTGTCTGGAAGATGTTGAGAAGTGGTGCAACTTTGTCATATAACCCTTTCGATGTTCTCTCCGAGTAAAAATGGGACAGAAAGATAAAGAAAATTGCACTCCATCTGAAAAATGATTTAACACAAATTAAATTGTAAAAATTTCTGATCAACTGTTTGTTTACTTAAAATGTCATTGTTGTGATTTATAAGTGTTACTTTGTTCCAGTACAAATCAAATCTGTCCATTAAAATGAAGAACAAAGTTATGGCAATTTTACGTAAAATTTAAAAACTTGACCATAAAGATCAAGGTCACTTTGAAGATACTGTCAAACAAGAAAAACACAACATGGCAGTTTTACAATAAGTGTTGTCTTGTCAAAGTACAAATCAAAATAGGAAAAAGTGATTAAGTTATCTAATTAAAGCAAATTCAATTGTTTGACCTTGATGCCAGATGGTCAAGGACATATTTGAATTATTCAACACTTCTGTTCTGTCTTTCCAAGTACTTGACAGAAGAAAAACTAAAGAAATGTATAACTATTAAAGCTGAACGATTTAAAGACAGTAAATAATAATAAACATCAAGCTGTCAATCATAACAGAGCTAGGATGTTAAGATTTTAAGTGTAAAATGGTACACTGTTAAAGCACTCCTTTTCTGCGAAAACATGTTTGGACTTGAACCACCTGCAGTTACATTACTAAATATAAGACCTTTAGGAAATCTATTCAAGTATTTTATGTTTATCCTTCATGAATCTAATATTTTATAATTATTCATCTTAATAGATGACTGTAAATATGTACAGCAAACGAACTGACATTAGACCACAATTCAGACCTAATGCATTCAACGATCTAATTGGTATGACTTGAAAGAAATTGAATATCCCATGAAAGATTAATGCAAAATGAACATGCTAACACTAGTAGACATTTAATTTATCACTTTACTTAGGAGATATGTCCGTTTAAACGACACCACTGCCATGTTATCCAACTAGGCAGCAATGGCCGAGCAATATTCACCAAGGATATCCAAATGCGGATTCTTTGGTTATACAGTTGATTAATTGGTAAAATCAAATTTAAACAGACTTTAACTAGTACCACTTTGATAAATTATAGTAGTTCTTTTTTTGTTCTTCTAATCTATAATTGCTTCGTACCATTATTTTTTAATTTTTAATAAAGAACAAATTGTAAACATAAAATATTATAATGGGACATAAATGTATATTGATCACATTGAGGGGAAATTTTTTGTCTCAAGCTCATGTATAAATTGTACTGCACCTGGCAACATGCAGTATTGCAACATTTATAGTTTCACTATGGCTGACTATGGATAGAAACAACAATGCTGTTTTTTTTCCTAAAAGCCTTTAAGTTTTCCATAATTTGAACTTTATTTTTGTTGTTGCTATTACACATACATGTATGTACTAATTTAAAGGATAAGGCTAAATCATAAAATGGCAGTAAATGCCTTCCTTGCCGTTTCAAGTAAGCCAGGGTTTAATTGGCAAAATATAGTGTTTGGAACCTGAATAATTATTAGATTTTAACAGTGTCTATTCTAGGAGGGGGGATGGGGTGACTCAACCATATTTTTGAGAATTCCCTCTATTTTTTCAGAGGCAGGGGGAAAATGTTACATAGATAAAGAAGGAAAAAGATCAACAAATGTGTAATAAATTTTCACTTTTCGATACCCCCACCCCCCTCTGTGTTTCAAATCCTAAAATAGACAATATTTTATCATCATAATTTATTTTGTAATCATACTTATTACAAAGAAACACTGACTAAAAATTGCTTGTCATTTTCCATTTTTAAAATCTGAAATGTGGTGCTTAAAGATTACAACGAAATTCGCCAGCATTCATTAGATACAAGGGGAGGTAATTTTGTGGTTGATTTCCATTTTCGTTCTAAAAAAATGTTGAAGATTGTTGGCATTGATACCTGAGGCTGATGTTTAAAACATGGAATGGATATTGAATCGCATTACAAAAATTCGTTGATACACAATCGATTGAATCAATAACACCTTGCATTGACCATTGTGCATGTTTTGACCCAAAAATCTTAACTTTTATAAATTTGATTTTAGCTACGCCTTTAATATTGATACAATCCTTTTACACGTTTTAGACGGTAAAAGGTCAACTCGGCCCAATACCAACTAGGCACAGGTCAACTCGGCACTTACGAACTTTCGCTATACGTATATGCAGTATTTCGATAGAGCGGAAGTCAGTGCGCGAGCATGCGCTTTGCCATATCTCGTTCAGTTACCGCTCACGTTTTAAACTCGGTTGCTATGGAAGCGACACTAAGCGTACATGGTATTTACAACTAAAATATCAGACAAACACATTAAAACAATACACAAAAACTACACATAGTTGTTTTCTATATTAATAACTGATAGTCAAACAAATATCTCGATTTAATGTATTGTTTACATGTGATGACAGCAACGCTGTGTGTTAGATTACTTACTTTCGGTTCAGAAAATTCATTTGTTTACCATCAAAACTCATATGTTTACCATAGGAACCATATATAGATAGAAAGCAAATTAAACAAAGGTAAAGAAAAAATTGTCCGTTTCTGAACAAAAAACAAAGAATAAATAAATACAAAGTCTTTTTAAAAGGTCCCTTCTTTAAGTTCATTTGAAAGGGGAATAATTTGGTTGGATTTTAGACAGGGAAACAAGGAGTTATCTTTCATAGCTAGGGAATATGGCCGACTGAAATCATGCAAGCAAGTTTGTAAGTGCTCGGCCCTCTATTAAAAACCTATTAGGATATAGATTGTTTAGTTTATAAAAATTTAAGGTGTAAATTACTATAAAAGTATTCAGAGATATGATCACTAACAAACAGAAATTGAAAAAGTTGGCAGTGTACTAAAAGTCTTGTAGCCAATGTAGGTATTTGAAATTATCTTTCTTGATAATATAAATGTCACAAATTATTTGGATTAACACTGATTACCCCAGGGTCTATTCTAGGATTCGAAAAATATGGGGGATTTTTATCGAAAAGTCAGAATTTATTATATTTGTTGATCTTTTCCCTTCTTTCTCTATGTAAAATTTTCCCCCTGCCTCTGAAAAAATAGGAGTGAATTCTCAAAAATAGGGGTGAATCCCCCCATCCCCCCTCCTAGAATAAACACTGTTACCCTGCCGTGTGGTGATTCGTGCAAACATGAGAGAAGGCTTTACGTCTGTCGCAAACAAAGTTTGTTAGCTTAACAGGCTATTCTGTAATACAGACACAAATCAACTGATCAATCCTAAAATTTAACCTAGCTGTAGTCTAGGTGTCCCACTTGTTAACCGTAGTAATTCTTGCGAATTATGCGTTTACAATGCATCTGTTAATTCAACATAAAGATAAAAAGAACAAAACATACCCCATAACTTGCGCTACATTATAAGCGATTAAGTACGATAATATAACGGGATTCTGCTCCTTTGACTCTTGTTTGCTTGCAGAGGACGGCATTTTGCTGCTGTTACTAAAGCCGAGCTTCTCAGTCACACTGATCAATCTCCTACGCAGTGATCTCCCCTTATCAGTACAGAGGCAACTACTCGGCTCTTTCCGTCAGTCTTCGTGCTGTATCTCATTCGCAACGACTCGGCCCTTTCCGGGTACCCCTCACAGTGATTACCTCCCTTGGCAGAATTAAGGGGAGATCACTGTGTGGAGATTGCCCCTTTCCGTCAGTCTTCGGATTCGAACACCAATCGCAACTACTCGGCCCTTTCCGTCAGTCTTCGGATACAATAGTATGAATACACAGAACGGATGCGGTATTTCGGTCTAACCTACGCTAAGAAACTTAACATGTAAACAAATAGTAATTTAATGCTGGGAGTTGTTGACAAGTTTATTTCCAATATATGTAGTAAAAGACCACCTAAAGTAAGTGAATTCATAGGTACAAAAGCAAACAATACATTATGTATATATTTATTATTATGGTTGTAGAAACCGAAAGTACAAATAAAGTTTCCTTTTAAAAGGAAAGGCTTGCACAGTTGTGCCTTTAAAATTGTTTTTTTTTTTTTTTTTTTGGTTTCAATTTATTATCACATTTTTTTTTTAATTACGGTATTTGTATATCATAAAGGGTTTATTTAGTTGGGGTTTTTTTATTTTTTGGAAAACCGAATATTTTTTGTCAAAACGATTTGAAATCTATTCTCTATTGTATAAAACTAATAAAGAAAATGATCAATCGTAAAAATACTAACGTGATACTGAATGAAAACAAGTGTGCACATTTCATTTCCCCTTTTTCGCAGCGAAATCATTCCTTTGCTTTATAGACAAGTAAATGCACTAAAATACTTCGTTACGTGGTACCAATTAATAAGCATGTATCAACTATGTTACACGATCACAAATAGACGATGCGCTATGTGGCAAGGTTAATGATATGCATGGGCTATTTTTAGATTACCTCACCAAGAAGTTGCTCAGTAGATCTAAATATAACTCGATCATGCGTGATTTGGTAAGCAGGACCACCCTTTGGAGACGGAATACTACTATATACAGTCACCATTCTCTATTGTATAAAACTAATACAGACAAAAAACAATTATAAAAGAAACTAAATTTTGCGTCTTGAAAAACAATTGAAACGGAACAATTTCGTTTATAATTTATTACGGTTTAAACCGATAAATCAAGTAAAAATAGAAATCCTATTTATATAAACAAACTAAGATTACCGAATGTAACTAAAAAAGCTTAGATTTCCGTAATATTACTTCGTCTGATTCCGCAGTATGACGGAATCGCCCGAATTGTCACGATTGCAATCGGAACTACATCGGCTATTATCATTTATCCGAAGAGTGACGGAAAAGACCGAAAAGTTGCGATTGGCACGATTGCAGCTGGTTTCCCGTTCAATCATGCACCAACAGATGTAAGCAGGAAACCACCTAACCGGAACAAGTTTTCCAAATGAAATGGCTTGCAGCCGTGGCTGCAAGCCAAAAACCAACTTAATTGTTGACATTTAGTCGGATTTGTTTAAAATTGAACATCAGTGGGCATATTTAAATTACAAATTGTTGTCAGACATATTTTCAAATATAAGAGTACCGGAACAGACATTAGATGTTAAATATATGCATTCGTTTTACATTATCTCTGTTTCTGCCACGTGGTAGAACTACTTTCAATTCGTATTGTTTCCGAGGTTATTATAGATCATAGCCGAGGCAGTTCCGAATGGTATATTTGATGAAAATAACCGTGGATTGTAAGAAAAGAGGTGGAATCGATTTATTTAAAAGTAATCTAAACACAAATGATATCCATGCAGAAATTAAAAATTGAAATTCTTTCTTAATTAATATTTATGTTCCCATTTTAAGGTCCATCTGCTACACGGTCGTCTCGAGCACACTTCATTGCATAATTTTTCTTACATGCATGCCCATTATGTGATGTAAATGATTGCTATTGTAGCATCAAGATTTTATTTGACCCCGGTAACATGCATGCAGAACAAAGTTTTAACATTAAATTCTTACTTTACATGTTAAATCGGTATTTATTTTCTTTTCTGATTTATGATCTATAAACGTTAATATTAAGACATTCGCACACTTGTGCACACTGGCACCCGTATATCTGTATATGGTAATTTTCAAATTTTAGCTGTTCTAACACCTTTACCAAACTCCAATCGTAACTACTCGATCGGCAATCTCCGTCAAGTTCTTGAAGTCGCCCGAGGTGTTCCGAATGATATGTTATCCTGTCAAGTGTTTACACATATTGCTAATTCATCTAAAATGAAAACGATGGCTCGATAAAATATAGTTATATGTACATCATTTTATCAAACTACTCTAACTATTTGGTAAAACAAAATGCTTTATATTACACTACTAAGTCATAGCTACCTTTTAAAAATGGTTCCGTTGGAGACTCCTAATATTTCTGTTTAAAATGCCGGTGTTATGTACAAATCACCATCATGTGCTCTGTAATTTCGTTTTCGTATTTCGGTGGGGAATTTATGTGTTGGTTAAGCTGCGTGCTCACTTACTCCCCGGTAAGTTACTGGGATGATCCGGGACGATCCGGGGTGAAATTATTGTTGCGGTCACACTTACCCCGGCAGCACTACGGTAATTTCCAACTTACCACCCAGGATGCGCTCCGGACCATCCAGGCAGAGCCCAGGTGAAGCTACGATTCATGCCGGTGCTTCCCCGGTCGTTGCCGGAAGAGCCCCGGTAGACCAAGGCAGAGCCCCGGTCGATCCAGGCAGAGCCCCGGCAGAGCCCAGGACGATCTAGGCAGAGTCCCGGTTGAACCCCGGTGGATTGAAAACGCGTGAAAATGATGACATTGATACATAATTTTTATCTAATATTATATTTATTGTTCAAAAATAGTAATTCATGATGATTTTTGGCAAAAATCCTTATGCAAGACTGGATAAAAGGGAAATGGGAAGGGTTTAAATACAAACAAATGAAATCATCGCAAATTGTCGTGATTCTTTTGAAATGAACCGGGCCTTGCCGGGGCTCTACCGGGATCAACCGTAGCTCCATCGTCATCTTCCGGGGCTCTGCCGGCATCCTTCGGGGCTCTATCGGCATTCTCCGGGGCTCTGCCGGCATTCACCAGGGCTCTGCCGGCCTTCACCGGGGCTCTGCCAGCATTCACCGGGACTCTATCGTAGCTCTTCCGGCTATATATCAAGCCCCGGATCATCCCCGGTTTGTGCTGGCAGAGCTACGGTGCTTCCCTGGTGTAATCCCGGTCGTTTTCGACAGAGCTAAGGATGAAGCCGGCAAAGCTATACTTACCGAACCATCCCGAACCACCCCGGTGATATTAAATATTTTATTCCATCCGGGGTCGAATGCCGGATGTTCCCGGATCATCTCGGACGTTGCCGGCAGAGTTGCAGATGTACTCCGGTTGTTCCCGGTCGTACCCCGGTCGTTCCCGGATCACCCCCGGACGCCTACCGGGGCTCTGCCGGGATGTTAGTTAGACTGTAGCTTAATATACCATTTTTAGCACTATATATCATATGTGGATAGCGCCCTTTTAAGAAGGACCAAAATCCTTAAATGATATTGAACTGTTATCTAGGAGCATCACACGTCGTTAAGCATATTAAATTTATAGAAAGTAATATATTTTGTCTTGTTGTAATATTTACATTATTCTTCCTCTACCGAGCGAGATGCCATGTAAAACCATGCTTCGTCTGGAGCTTTTTGGTTTGGTAATTTTTATAAGACGCTTAACGTGATCCAACTCAAAATCTATGAGCTACTTTCCCACTTATCGAAGAATTATTTCTCGTGAATACACGTGCCATCTCGACTTCTTGTCACGTATTGTCATGTTGCTGCTTTTTTGTATACTTGTACATGTACATGTACGTATATTGATGCATTGTCAACGATATTGAAGATCGATATTTGCCTGCATTTCTCAGATCTGATATAAATTATATATTCATATCTTGTTATTCATAAAAGGGTGATGAGCTGTCAAAACCTTATGTAATTTTGTCTGAATTTGACAGGAAAATGAATGATTTTATACCTCAACAAATCCCCATTTTGTTTATTCTTAGATTTCATTCTAAAAAGTGACAGCCAACCGAAATAAATTATTACTAACAGAAGACATAGTCCATGTCTCATCGAATGATATTTTTCAAGACGAATTTATTTCTTATTCGATGGTGTGAGCATTTTAACCATGTTAACAGCGTTTTTTTCGGCTGAAGTTTCATATGTGAAGACAATGTTCATTTTATGATGTCTACTTCGGAACTGGTATACTAACATAATTATGTTGATGAAAATTTTGGCTGGCCATGTTTTTAAAAAGTTTTAGTGATAAAATTATTTTGTTTATGAATAAGCAAGTAATACCATGATTTACATTACATTCTGTAAGACTGCTACATGTATACAGACATTGTTCCCTTCAAATAATTCTGTATACTGTGTATTGCATGAAGCAGAATGATACTAGTACATGTATATGGTTGATGGTAAAAGCTTAAGTTAATATACTTTAAAGGCAGCGTGACAAACTATTAAAGTTTGGTAGCTAGGTTACCATATTTAAAGGCACTAGTGACAAATTATAGGCAGAGTGACAAACTATTAAAACTACACGTATTAATGTTTGATAGCTAGGTTACCATAATTTTATTTAAAGACGAACCATTAACTGCAAGACGTTACTGTCACTATGAATTTGGAACGGAGTAAACACTATTGACTGTGACAAGCTAGTTTTACTATTAATGAAGGTAAAGTGACAAACTATTGACGGTTAGAAGCTGGTATAACTACATCTGAAGGTAAATTGACTCAGTATTTACAGAAGCTAGTTTCACTCTATCTGAAGGCAAAGTGACAAACTACTGACAGCAAGATGCTAACGAGCAAACTGACGAACTATTTAAGGTAAGAAGCAAATAGTGTCACTACTTGTATTACAAAATATTTTACAGTAAGGAGCTTTTGTTTGTTACTGTATGTACTTTAGAGAAAAATAGTAACAGGATAATGGCGACTAGAATTTTAAACAGTATATTAAATAAAATCTTTATTTATTTATTTTATTTTATCTTTTTTATTTTTTTTATTATTTTTTTTATTCTTGGAATACAATAACAAAAGTTTGGTGGTTTAAATTGAAAAGAGTGTCAGGATATTGTTCAAATTGAGTTTTTTCAATTATATATGTCTTGGAAACTCGGTTTTTCGATATTGATAGCAAGAAATGGATTTTTCTATGTTTAGACACAGTTGCAATGTATACGATTTTGTAATTGAAGGAGTTTACGTCAAAACTGCCACAAATGGTCATTCCGACATAATTTCCAGACTACACTGGAAATGTCAAATGATTCCACCTTCGATTTCTGTTTCCTTATTATGTCTCATCAGACACATTTAAATACAATAGCTCACATTTATACAGCAGTCTATAGAATAATTCTCTTATTGGAAGAAATATACATTACACAGTCTTCTTGTTAGGCTTTCTTTTGCTTTTTTATTTTCTGAAAGTATTTGATGAATGGGCACTGTTAATTTTACTACCGAACATTGCTATTTAATTGTATTGGCAGGTATGTAAGGTATACTTGCAGACATGCAACATATACAATAATGTCTTCTTTAATTGTTTATAAAATCATAAACCGGTATTGAAATAAGAATATTATTTTACAATCGGAACGTTTTGGTTATCATTCATATTATCCGAAGTTTGACGGATAAGGCCAATAATTTGAAATTGGTGATTTGATAAACAGAACGGGTGAAAACAAATTGGTGACTTTAGCATATTATTTAACTATTGTAATATGTTGGGGTTTTTTTTTTGTTTGTTTTTTTTTTTTGGTTGTTGTTACTGAGATAAACCGTGCAGTTAACACATTCTCCGGTAGTTGTTTATCAATTTTTAGTTAGAGATTGAGTGATACAGTAGTTGCCCCGTTTAGAGCATCTGTACATGGGATCTCTGGTTTTAAGGTCCCAGCCGAAAAAAAAGTATTGTTAAATGAAGATCGGTGGTGGATTGGACCTCCGACCCCCTAGATGACTAGTATAGTGCGTTACCACTAGCCTTGATCTATATATAATACAGTGAGAAAGGGTAACCGGAGTAAAGGTAAGGCCAGATAAATTCAAAATAACAAGTATATAACTTTTATTAAAACATAGTTAAATTTTTTTAAAGAAACAACACAATATCTACCTGTAATATTTAACAATATATTTTGCATAAACGTGAAACAATAAAATATTAAGATTAACAAACGGCCCTAAGTAGCTCACTTGGATATACGGAAGCAATAAGAATGGTATCACTGTATCATGTCTTGTAAGCCTATGCAATTCAATGTGTATCATGTATTTCTATTACAAGCACCTGCTTCTTCCGGTCACTGAATCATTTTAGTAGCCTATATATTTCAACTTGCACCTTTCTCACGAACACAGACGTAGACTCATAAATGGAAGCTTCTATTGCCAAACAGATGAATACAGTTTTTAAAAATATAAATCTGAAATAGAGCCTTTCAAAAGTAAGATATACAAAATTTATGATATAAATTGCCATTGTTTTATGACAAGACAGATAATGGTCTGAAGTCCCTTAGAATGATTAATCAGAGCTATTAAAAAGATGTATTTCAAGTGAGGTAATAATGCATCCGTAAGTAAATGAAGGAAGTCAAATTCAAATGGTACTTTTCTATATCACTCAAGTTTATTTGAGCCTAAAAATTTATAAACGTACAATGTGCTTAAAAATAATACCTGTTACTATGAATACCTCCTGTCTTCGTCAAATTTAACCAGGAGTATACTAATGTTTAACATTAATCTTCTAACAATAAAAGTATTCTTTAGTTACCTTATTGTCTGAGCGGCCTAAACATCTGAGTGACATACAAGTATGTATGTATTTAAATAAAATAAATAAGCAAAAATTAAAAAAAAAAAATAATTATAATTATAATGCTAAAACAATACCACGGAGATCTTTACTGCATAACACAGAATGAAAAAAACTGTAGGACTAGCGACGGGTTAGTTCATTGCAAAGAGTTCTTCGTCCGCCACCAGCCTTTCACATCATGTTGCCGATTGATGTTTCTATTATATCATATAAATATTTTACAAATCCCCAAGAACTAAATACAGCGCCATTTTAACACACATAGCGACGAGTATATAGTAGATAAATGTCGTTGGTGGAAGGTCAAAACATAAGGCCATAAATGTACTTCCGCTAATGAAAAAAATGATTTCCCATAAATAATTTTCCCACTTTGTAGTTGTCGCAAAAGAACAGAGAAGATGCCAACATTTATGGCACAACGATGTCTCTTTGTTCATTCTGTGTAATATACGTTCGTTGTTTAAATTCTGTAAGGTAGATGTATCCGTACAGTCAGAATGGCAATTATTCACACCATTAATTGAACTACGCGATTGTGAAAACGGGGATGGACTTCGTCTAGCCACACTTGAAGTAGAGTCACCTTTAGCGTAAGACCTATGAACAGATATTATGGACACCGAACTAGGGTCACAATACTTTGATTTTAATGCCGTTTGATGTATCAAATTTGTTTGTGAATGTGAAGGTTGTTCCCAATCATTGCTTGCATAATTGCCTGCTATATCTTTGTCATTATTGTTTAACATATCACAGGTTGCAGAGCTTTCTTCCGACAAATGATCCTTTTTGCAAACAGTTTGTGTCGGATGAAGTTCCGAGAATTCATTTTTCACATTAGCTTCTTCATACATGTTTAGTGAATCTGCAGCACAATCTACCCCCACATCTGGTAGTCTTATATTTCTAGTCTCCAGTAACCCATTAACTTCTGTGTTAGATGAATTAATTTTCGAAGCAGGGTCACACATGTGTGTATATGCTGCACTTACAAATGTTAGACTTCCTGACATTGCGTTATCCACTTCAGTGTCGAAGACATCCTCACATCCTATACCGAGTTCTTCTATCTCACCTACATAAATATAAAGTTCTTCTTATAACAGAATGATTTATTATATATTTATAAATGAAATAGTGAGAAATGTTGATGAAATAAAATGCGTATTTTCATTTTCCGTATTTTCACTGTAAAAAAAATATTTTTCACTGCAGTGAAACATATTTTTCGTATTCCCACGGGTGTCTTGCCGGACTACTTTCTTTTAAATTTTGCAAATACATAAAATTTAAGAAGGGAAAGTCTTTCAAATTGTAATATCAAAAAAGTGAAAAATGTATATAATAAACAGAAAATTAAAGTTTTTTTTCTATAAATACATGATTTATTTTCAACTTGTGGCATGAAAAATAACTAAACATGTAGCTTGTATACAACTCAACATAAAGAAAAGTACAATGCTCAACAACTGCATAATATAATTTGTAGCTTGTACATAAAGCAACATGTAGCATATATGCTTAAATCAACAGGAAGCATACACCACGTAGCATGTACATATATTGGCATGTAGCTTGTACGTAAATTAACATGTAGCAAGTACATTTCTAAACATGTATCATGTACTTGACATGTAGCGACTACATAATTTGTAGCATGTACATATAATGCAACATGTAGCATGTGCATAAATCAACATGTAGCATTTTCATAACATGCTATGTAGCATGTGCATGTACGTAATATGTAGCACGTACATAAAGCTATATATAGCATGTACATATATCAGCGTGAAGCATTACATCTGTCTTAATGTAGCATGTACATAAATTGATATGTATTCATGTACACAATTCAACATGTAGCATGTACACAATTCAAAATGTAGCAAGTACACAATTCAACATATTGCATGTACACAATTCAACATGTAGCATGTACACAATTCAAAATGTAGCATGTACATAAATCAACATATAGCATGTACATACCATGACGTGTCGGATACTCTTATTTATTCCACTAATAGAAAAAAATATGTCGATAATTAAAGATGCTGGAAAAAACTATATAGGGTACCGACAGAATTTAGCAAGCAAGTTCACAATATCACAAATAAAACAAAGGGTGAAATGAAAGTAACTTAAAATTTACTCAACAGATCATCGGGAAAATAAAAGAAAAGAAATACAAATGGTATAAAATAAATGCAATGCGAGTATATGAACAATCCGTTACTACAACTGCTTATTTCTATTTCATATGAACTGTAATAACTAACAAAACAAGCACACGTCTCGCTAAATGATCACGAGAGCTGACCAAAACATGAGTTCATGCAGTAGTTTATTTGTTTATTTCTGATATTTTAGCAATTTTACCTTGATGAAGAGCCTCGTCTTCATTGTACGCCCAGTCTCCCAAAAACACAGGCCATATAACTGGAGCTTTTCTCGAAATAGTACAATAAATCGGGGTTAAAGGCGACTCCGGTTGGCGTTCATTTTCCAGTGTTTCTTTCTGTTCCTCCGCAACACGTTCAATAATAGCGGGGAAAAGGGGTGACCTGGCGATGTTCATTGATCTTTTTGATTTCTTCTTATTTCGTCGCTTAGACCTCGCTATAAAATAACAGAATGTAAAACAAAGTCAAATAATACAAAATATCAATGTTATTAATAATATAGACATTAATAAACAAGAGATCGATTAAAATGAAGAATGTATATGTAGAATATCTTAAGTTATGTTATGTTATGTGATAAATAGAATATTATATTCGTGTAGATTCAATACTAAATTTATTGAACTCGTTGAATAAAAGAATATTATGCTCGCCAGAGGCTCGCGTAAAATTTTTATTTTATTCAACTCGTTCAATAAATTTAGTATTAAATCTACACTTATTTAGAAATCCTCTATAAACATGCCAGTTTTAATTTAGACAGTTACATCGTCATGTTTTCAAACATTTTTTTCAAACACTAGAATCTACACTTATTACACAGACGAAATGATGTATTTATATAAGACTTAACTTCGCAATGTCTTATTCTGAGTAAAATGTAAATCACCTGTCTGATCAGGTTGTTGGGTGCAAAATGTTGAAATATGTAACGTGCAATTTATATGAATGTAAGCGATTTTCTCAAAAGATATCCAAACTTTTTGCACTCATCATTATAGGAAGGTTAACAACGCAATTAACAAGCATATTTAAATGGATATTCCCCGCCGACCTTTTGATACAAGCTTTTCAGTAGATTATATTATGATTGATCTTGCAAAGTTCTCAACATTGAACAATTGCAAACAAAACTGTTCTTAAAGAAGATCACATCCTTTTGAGATATTAAAATATCATTATGATAAAAAAGTCGTTTTAAATTTGTCACTGTAAGTACATGTACCGGAATTACCAGTTACACCGATTTACCTCTGCAGTCTCTCCCCCTTGGTTGTGTTTAAAGTCGCACCAACTTAGTATAGGTCATATGGCGACTTTCCAGCCAGCTTTTACTGGTCGTAAATGACCTCAAATGCCCCTCTGTACATTATTTCAGGCACAAACGGACACCTGAATAGAACCACCGACGTTCCGTAAGCTATTTGGATAGCTTTCTCTCATGAAGAATCCGGAGACGCTGGTGCGGCTCGAACCTATAGCGGTGACAGGCAAGAGGTTTGAAGTTAACGACCTGATTGACTTTTCAAAAGGGAGATAACTTTACAATTATCCTCGATCTGATATATTATGACCCTTGGCCGAGTTTACAAACAAAAAAGCCACAATTGAACTAAACACGGTTTTTATGATTAAATATGCCCTCATCATTATATCATTGACTTTGTAGCTCAGTATTTGGCTCTGAATTAATGTTTTTCTTTATATTAAAAATATAGTTATTTTTAAATTTATAAAGGCATTAAATCAGTAACAAACACAAATTGACGTGTAGCATTTCCTTAATGATGAGCCAAGATATATTAAGATCTGCCGGCTAAGATTCCTTTGAAAAATCACATAAATAAGTGCATTATTAGACTTATTATTTAATATTTAATAGGTATCATTTCCTTACTATTATATACATTCATGCTAAGTTTTTTTTTATATAACTTACAGACAACTTGTAAAAATATAACTGAAAAAAAGTAATTTCCCTTATTTAGTCCAAAACAAAGAGTAATAACTCGAAAGTCATTGGATGGATTTCGATTACATTTTGTAAGCCTTCCTCCGTATTCATATATTCACCCGTGTCATGAAATTTGGACAAACCGATTTCAGACATGGATCTGGACAATGTCATTTCAATATCTCCCTTCCGACTTCATATGCGGTGATAAAAATGACAATGTTATTCATGCTAAATGATTGATTACAAGTAAATGCAACAACAATCTCGTAACGCTTATTGGACATAAAGCAGGCTTTATATTGTTATACATGTCACTGTATCAACCGTCATATAACGCTTATTGGACAGAAAGCAGACTTAATATTGTTATATAAGTCAATGCAATAACAGTCGCTATCGCTTATTGGACAGAAAGCAAATGTAATTTTGTAATACAAGTCAGCTCAACAACAGTCGCGTAACACTTATCGGACAATAAAAGAAGCAGACTTAATATTGTTATATAAGTCCAGTGCAACAACAATCGTGTAAAACTTATTGGGCAGAAATCAGACTTCATATTGTTATATAAGTCAATGCAACAATAGTCATGTAACGCTTATTAGACAGAAGGAGACTTCATATTGTTACATAAGTCTGTGCAACAACAGTCATTTAACGCTTATTGTACTGAAAGCAAAACATTTTTACTATACAAATCAGTGTAACTAGACTTGTGACATTTATTGAACAGAAAGCAGTAGTATATATGTATTGTTAAAACAAAATTAAACACACACAAACTATCATTCAGGTATATGTTATTCTATCTACTTTTAGTGTCCAGCTTTATTTGTCATCCAATGAAAACGCTGTATTTCTTAAAAATTATGTGTGTTAATTTTCATAGAAGTAAAAAAGTCGATACTATATTGAAATCCGTTCATAGTCCCCTTCTATTTTTCATAGTGCTTCATAGTACCGCGTAGTGACGTAATCAATGGCCAAATAAAGCTTGACACTAAATATGTTAGTGTTCATCCTTAGCTGTTCTACAGAAATTAGAAACATTCTCCTGTCGCTATCGCTCCCGTCTCTGTAGAACAGCACGGATGAACACTAACATATACGTATACGATTTATAGGTTATTCTTTTGTAAGTGTTATATGTTATTGTTATTCTAGCTATATGTAGTTCACTTATATGTTTTTCTATATGTACCAATAGTCGAGTTAACTATAAATGTCACGGATAAAATATATTCTATCAGTAACATACATGTATATCATATTCAATTCAATTGCATATGTTTCCTAATTTGTGAATTTAAACCGCGCTACAAACGACTTTTTAATAAATAGACCTCTCTCAATGTTTTACATGCAGTGCTCTCCAAATAGTTGAAGACCTCTTCAAATAGTTCACATGAATTCAGGATATCTAATGAATTTCACCACGCTCTATTCTATTTAATGAGGTCACTAATTGAACTCATGATCTCTATAAATAGATTTGTAGTGCACTATAAACTAATTATAGAAGTTTTCAGATCAGTGAGAGTCCTCTTCAATTTAATTACAGATCGAGCTCTTAAAAACTGCTTAAATACACCTATTATTAATTATAGACGTCGAAATATGTTTTTGTTGTTGTTGTTGTTGTTGTTGCTGTTTTCTTTCAAGTTTTTATATATATATGTGATAAGTACCTGTGCTAGGATTAACAAATATACATTTTATTTGGAAATTAAATGCGTTTTGAGCCCAATACCCCATAGTGTCTGTGCATTCTATTGAAACATAATTATGCGTCGTTTCTGTCGGATACATAATTGAGCCGTGTCATGACAAAACCAACATAGTGGGTTTACGACCAGCATGGATCCAGACCAGCCTGCGCATCCGCGCAGTCTGATCAGGATCCATGCTGTTCGCTATCAGTTTCTCTACTTGTTATAGGGTTTGTAAGCGAACAGCATGGATCCTGATCAGAATGCGCGGATGCGCAGGCTGGTCTGGATCCATGCTGGTCGCAAACCCACTATGTTGGTTTTGTCGTGACACGGCTCATATATATGTCGCGCTCGTGTCGTCCGTATAGAAATATTTTATGCATATTTGATCCGTGACAAGTAACAAATAACAAATCTATCTAAAACATTCTTAGGTGAATGATTTACTACATATGTGAAACAAATGTTACATATCTGCAGTGGAGTTTAGAAAATTAATATTTATTGTTGTATTTTGTTTTCAGGTGGATTTATGAAAATTTTCTTTAATATATATTTTATTTTCCTTGTGTTTCCTCATGACCATTAAATAAGAATAAACTACACACTATATATATGTACACGATAACTTTGTGTCCATCAATCTTATCAAATTTAAAGTGTATAAAGCTATATCTTTGTTGCGTGCAGTTTACAAAAACATCTTTAAATTTGAAAAGAAAATGATTCAAAAATTCCTGTCTGAAAGAAATTTGCTGGCATACTTCCTGGAGAACGATTTACGCGTGCATGAAATAATTGCCCTATTTGAAATAACAGCAGTGAGATTTTGATTTGTTTATATACAGTATTCATGTGTAAACAGTATAAAATAGTATGTTACAACTTTTTCAAGAATCCACCATAAGGTTATGTAAACAACACAATTTTACTGGGTTTTTTTGTTTGTTTTGTTTTTTTCTTTTAATTTTACAAAAAAAATTGGTAAGATATAGCTTCATACCCTGCAAACAAATGCGACGAATAACATGCAAATACAAACTAAGTTTACTTCTCAGTCGTACGGTTAACCCAGTCCACACTGAACACAATACAGGCATGTACCATCTATATAAATAATCTACCTTTTACGGATATATACAGCATACTTTTGGACGAACCTTCCAAATTTGATGCCTGAATTTTGTAAATCCCCGCATCACATTTAGACACATCTTTGATATGGATGGAATGTATCCCAGAATCCTCTGCATCAACTTTTGCACGTGAGTCTGGACCAATTATATCTTCATCTCTATACCACGTGACAGTTGGTTTTGGAATCCCGGCAACTTTGCACGTGAAAGAAACGGTGCTCCCTTCTTCAACTTCCTCAGTAGCCGGGAGCCGTTTGATAAATTCTGGGGCTAGAAAATAAAGTCATTGTAAAGCTAAGCAGTAAAATATATATTATGATGCTAAATTTAAGATATTTAACTACGACATGTCTGACCTATCGGCTATATTAAAATTGTAACTGTTGCTAAATATTCGAAAAGAAATAAAAGTCATACTATTGACTAGTGGTAAACATCATACACAAGTGTTAGTCCCGATTTTTACAGTATTTGTCTCTCTTGCCAAAAGTGGCAGCCATTTTTGGGGTCAATTTGCTATATATAATATTCTATACAAAGTAAGAAGAAAGAAAAAACAACACCATATAAACATACGATTTACGTGAATTGTTAATTTCTTTTATACATATGCAACAGAATATTATTATAGCATCATTATTTAAAATATTTTATCAGTTTTCTTGGAGATGATAGCATTATGAGAGATTCTTATCTTACCTTATGCATATGTATATATAGAGAATGACCCCCCAAAACGGCAGCCAGGGGAGGTAATAATTGCTATGTGAAAAGCATCTATTGTAAACATTAATTACTAGTGTACTAGTACTAGTGAACGTAATGACTAATGTTTATGCCTTATATCAGCTTAATTATTGATTACTGTTCACACTTAATGCTGCATGCCTCCAGGTAAGCCAAGCTATTGCAAGAAATCCAACCTTGAGAAAATTTTAAGAAAAGTATAAATATTCACAACGCTAGTTACATGCAATCATTGACTGATTTTACAGTATCTATCACCACATTTCTTCTGCAGTAAGGGCTATTTATGCATATTCTGACCTATTTTTGATAATTTAAAAAAAATTTAAGTACTGTCTGTAATGTGTAAATTGCTTTGTTCACTTGACAATATTTTATTTTTCAATCCATTTTCAAACTTTTCATGAAAATATGCATGAGGTATGGTGACTGCTGTTTACACCTTATACGAACGTTAATTATAACCTACTTTATCACTTATCACTAGTATTAGTTATACCAGTATCAGCATATATAGAGGATATTCAAGTTTTTTCTATAAATACATGATTTATTTTCATCGAGTGGTATGAAAATAAATATTTCATGAGTGGCGGTAGCCACGAGTGAAATATGGTAATTTTCATGCCAAAGATGAAAATAAATCATGTATTTATAGAAAAAACTTGAATTTTCTGTTTATTATATACATTTTTCTCTTTTTTGCAATAAAATTTGAAAGACTTTCCCTTAAATTTTGTGTACTGGCAGAATTTAAAAGAAAGTAGTCCGGCAAGACACCAGTGAAAATACGGAAAATATGTTTCACTGCAGTGAAAAATAAATTTTTACTGTGAAAATACGGAAAATCAAAATACGCATTTTATTTCATCAATATTTCTCAATATTTCATTTATAAGTATATAATAAAACATTTTATTTGTGGTGTTAGTTATGACCGGTGCTAACACTATACACTAGTGTTAGTAAAGACCAGTGTTAGCACTTTACACTAGCGTAAATGTAGTGTAATAGCCAGCGTTAACTTTTTAAACTTGCGTAAATAATGATAAGTTAAATCACTTAACACTAATATTAGTAGTGACCAGTGTTAACACTTTACACTAGTATTAGTAATGACAAGTTTAATTTGATACCTTACACCAGTGTTAATCGTGACTATTGTTAACATTAACACTACTGTTAGTTTCACCTTAACCTAGAGTTAGTAATGACTAATGTCTTTTACTGTTGTTATTCACGATGGATTGGAATGCAGTCTATGTGTTATTTAATTAGGAAATATGTCATTTACAACAACATGGGAAGAGCGTGTATTTACGTGCAAAACAAAATCCTCAGGTCTATATCATATGTATTAGAAACAAAATAAGCTATTAAGTACGTATGTTTTCAAGCTTGATCATAAATATGAATATTATAACACATAATTCCGCAAACATAAATTATTTTGTCATATTTACATTACATTATATTATAGATTGCGTTTACACACGCAAAACATTATGTCTTAATAATGATTCCACCAGATTAACAGACAAATGTCTTCAATGTGCGTATAACTAGTGGTTCCAATTAAAAATGTACTTATAGAATTGCTATCTGTATATTCGTTTTGTATATCCACACTCGTGTGTACTTATAGAGTTTCAAATGGATTTATTCGCTTACTGTAATGATCAGCTGTGTTTTAGGGAGAAAGATATATACCAGCATTTGAACATTCATGCGCCGAACGTTGCCCCAAGATCGATAATTTGAAATACAATTTTAAACGGCATGGAGATAGACGTAGTGCTCAGAACATAAAACAATATTGAGCATAATATCTGGCAAGTTTAATTACAGAAAGAACAAATTGATGGAGATTGAAACTGGTATTATGACAAGGGGCACGCAATGTTCAATATACTTAACGTGGAAGGAGAAAAAATCAACCGGATTTGAAATGCTTAGGAAATTAAAGAATGTATTTGTGTTGTCCCTAATTATGGGTATTGTAATGATGATGATGATGATTGTGATGATGATGATGATGATGATGATGATGATGATGATGCTTTTAAAGCGATTTAAAATCATATTTTTGAAATGAACGAACTTTCTTTAGTCCTTTTTGTTTGACATTTAAGTTAACACAGATATAATTCTACAATTATTAATAAGCATTATTAGTAAGCTAAAACATACCTTGATATAAACAAGTTTTCCTAGAAAAATTCATCGGGACCTTTCTTCGGCAACGCGCAAGGATACTTTCAACATCAACGTCGTCATAGCGACTATCGAACTCGGTTTCTACCTCCGTCATTTCTGGACCAATGTCAACTTGAAACGCTAAACGCTATTTAGGTTGTTCGTAATATCGAAAGTTCTACATATCCGTTTCTGTGTTATCAAGATATTTTGCTGATATTTATATCATGTTAAATAAGATTATTCCAGATGTAAGCAAAACTGAAATACTTATCCGACTTCTTCTGAAAAACACATTTATCTTTCAATTTTTAAACTATACATGACACGTGATATCTGTTATTCACAGCACGGTTTAATAATTCCAAAGAACGGACTAACTTTGGCGAAATGTATAATATGCAACAGTGTATCCTTACTCGCACGGGTCCAAGCGTGTAACTGTGGTTAACATCTACAAAACAATATTCCGTTAATTAATTAACACTAAACGATCCTGTGAAAACATTCCGGAAACACGCGCCAATTATTTAATATCTAATAATAATAATCATATTTTCGTCTAATGATCTCTTTCCCTAAGCGCAGCTGCGGTTAATTTAAACGCCCAAACGATAACATCTATGTGGTTTATTCGGAATAATTCCTTCTCTTTTACCAGAACGTCCAATACAACAAGACTTCGGTTTATTGGAAAACTTCTCTAACAGTACTGCCAGTAATTTTGCTTTTGTGCCAGAAAACATTCTTTCTGTTCACAAAGAAATCTTGGCCTTGATCCAGTCAGTTTTACCTGTATACTCAGTGGTTATTACTGATTTTTTCACCTTCAATAAATCTATGTATTAGTAGTGCTATAGAAGCTGCAAATAGAATCATGTTTTTTTTTAAGCAGGAATTACTGTGCAGTCTACGTAATATAAACCGGATCTCGGCATATAAACAAAATCATTAATATGCACAAACTACGGTGTTTCGTTAGGGCTAATGCGTTCTCATTGAGAACGAACAGCACGAAGCGCGACAGTTCGATGGTGACAGTACGACAGTATGACGATGAAGCGCGACAGTACGATCTTGACAACACGACAATGCGACAGTATGTATTATATGCTTAATGAGGGTCCATCCGCCCTTTCAGGCACTGAGAGTACGGACCCCGAAGCATGACAGTATAGTGGCGACTATAGATTTATCGTAATGTCGCCATCGTACTATATAGCGTTTCACCATCGTACTGTTACCTTCCTTAAAAGCATGCACAAAATACTATAAACATAGAGGAAAACGTTAACCATTTTAATTGAAATGAAGTAATAGTCTAATAATTATGTCCAGAGAGAAAAAAAAAAACAGCAGGTGCTAGCTCAATATTGACAATATCCCGTACCATCAATGTATGCCTATTTCATCTAAGAAATTATTACAAAACCCACACCCTAGGTATTCATCAACGTATTTTGGGCATACCATGCTAGCGTTTGATTTTCATGCTTTATCAGGCAAGGCCAAGAAAAGAGAAGGGCGAGGCTTTGTGCTAAGCCTTAGAAATTTTATATTATCAGGCACTTGTTTATCATATTTGCAATATTAATATGCGTTTCTTTATTAAAATTTCAAATGAAACAAAAACCTGAGTTCATGCCGCGCAGTAATATGCCAAGGGTCATATTTATAAGAAATACAGTCCCAAATGTTTTAGTCAAATGTAAGATTAAAAAATCTATTCGATGTTTAATACCAGAGACATAGATAACACATTATTTACATCTGTATTAATACTTTCAAACTAACATTAGTAAGAGGTAAAAATATTCCATTCTCTTCATGTATTGATCAGGTGACCGATAAAGCTGAGGGTGACTGGTAAAGCTGAGGGTGTCTGGTAAAGCTGAGGGTGACTGGTAAAGCTGAGGGTGTCTGGTAAAGCTGAGGGTGACTGGTAAAGCTGAGGGTGACTGGTAAAGCTGAGGGTGTCTGGTAAAGCTGAGGGTGACTGGTAAAGCTGAGGGTGTCTGGTAAAGCTGAGGGTGCCTGGTAAAGCTGAGGGTGACTGGTAAAGCTGAGGGTGACTGGTAAAGCTGAGGGTGTCTGGTAAAGCTGAGGGTGACTGGTAAAGCTGAGGGTGACTGGTAAAGCTGAGGGTGTCTGGTAAAGCTGAGGGTGACTGGTAAAGCTGAGGGTGTCTGATAAAGCTGAGGGTGTCTGGTAAAGCTGAGGGTGACCGATAAAGCTAAATTTATCAGGCATGCACTTTATCAACAGAAATCAATGTTATTACATGATAATTTGTTTTATTTATCTCTTTTTGGTCATATTTATATTTAAGCATGAAAATAATTTCTTGTAAATATGTTTCACTTTAGTTTTTTTGGATAAACATGTGCAGTATTTCAAATGGACTACCACACCAATGTGGCGATCGCAATTTCGCAGTTTATCAGAGTATTATCATTTTTTTTTCATCGTATCGTCACGCTTTGCCATCGCAATATGGACTTAACCAGTGTACTGTCATGATTAGCCATCATTCTGTTGTGTTGTCAAAAGCATAATGTCGTACTGTCACCATCGTAGTCCCGAGCTTCGTGCTTTTCGTTCTCTGGGTAAATATGCTGGCCCTAACGGAAAACCGTAAAAACAACTTTTGATACTTACAAAATACTATTTCCTAGTGTGTATTCATCGCTTTGGTATGTGCATTCACAATTCTTGATGCAGATAATGTATCCATCTGTACACAATTATTTGCTATGACTAATAAGTTATCATGGAAAATAGTAACTTAACTCTATATTGCATCCCATTTCCATGTTTGTTTACATCTACGTCAAGGCAAATTATGTTGTTGTTTTGTACTTCTTAATTAAGCCAGTGTAAGTTATCCTAAGGTAGTGTTAATTTAGTCACAAAGGTCATTTCATTAGTTAATAACGGGAAAATGTTTCTCAGCCCTCTAAAAAAAGTATCGACACATTCGGGATTAAGAAGAAAATTCATTGAACTTAATTTTAAAGAATATGTGGTAACTATTAAAGTGTATAAAGCTATCTCTGCTGACAGCAGTTTTCAATATTTAAAAAAAATACTTTCCGAAATGTCTGTATGATAGAAATATGTTGGCGTATTTCCTTTTGAGCTAATAACACATGCATGCAATCATTGTCAAACAGTTAAAAAACTACTTAAAATAGCAGTATAATACATGTATTAAAACCAATATAATATTAAGATTAAAGTCTGAAAATCAAAACAAGGCTTTAGTACGATATGCATTTGATTTTGATATCGACTTTTTGGACTTTGAAAATGGAAACAAGGCTAAGTTGATAAGATTGGATTCAACAATGATTTCTATTTGAACAACACGAGGTTCAAACGTTGAATGTTCATTGGTTAAACGAGACACTCAGGACAAGAATTCAAAACACGGCGAATACGAGCTGGACGTCAATTGCAAAAAGGCTACAAAATAATCGACGGTAAACAGTCCGCGAACGGTGGGGCATATTTAATGTCTTCATCGGGTCCACCAATTCTTTTCTGACCAAATGATTGAATATAGTTTTAAACACTGTTTTATTGTGTATTTCTAGATAAACGTGTTATCAATAAATTAATATAATAATGATACACGGTAATTATTAGTATTATTTTCCCCGATTTGGTTTAATAAAATGATAGCCTGTGCTCAATAGAAGAGAATATTTTTACCGGGCAATTCTTTCGGGAAGTGGAATAAGAATGTGATCGCTTTATTTCTCTCTTCATTTCCACAAACGAGACTTTATAGTAACATGGTTCAGACACTTAGAGCCCTAGGGAGAATACTGTCTGTAAGAAAATGCTTTATTTTGTATTTCTTTTGCGACATCATGTTTATTGTGTTTTAATGCTCGCCGGCACGCGTACGTTTATTATTTTAAATTTTTCACAGAATTGTTATGTATTGATTTTTTCAGTGTATATAGAGGACATGTTCCGATATTAAATTTTGTCTCTTGTAAAATTGTGTACGTAAATTTAAAAATGTGAACAGTAGAGCTGCAGTCCTATTACTTTTTGAACAACCCTCGTATTTATATAAGGAGTCAAATAAAAAGAAATAATTGACACAGTGAATGTTAGCTAACAAACAGTATCCACTCATAACGATGCTCCCCGGTCTTCTGTCATATCACAATGCTATAATTCATCTTTGATTGTATCTGTTGATTTTTCATCAACTCCGGTATTTTCTCTAACCACCTCAGTCAGAAGCTCGTCTTTATTTTGAGTCGCTTCTTCGGTAGCTGTAAAACACAAACCACATTTATTAAAACGACCGTTTTGAAAGAAAAAAAAAAGAGCAAAAGCTTTGTTGACGATGTTTAGACCTCAATTTTTATATATTCCTGGTTCAATTTTATTGAGTTTTACGATACACACAAAATATATTTATATTTTATCTAACTCTATCTTATGATTTATTTTTCTTTAAAACAAGAACTGTCGTAAGAAAACATGCTCAAATGTTCCAAAGTAGTTGAAACAGGTCTTAAAAACGTGCACGGCAAAGATAGTCATAATAAAATTATGAGTTGAATAAGCTATTAGATTCCTTTGAAACGATTACGAAAAGTAAAGCAATATTGTTGCTAAAAATGCGTGCATTTTACATCAAACAGTCAAATAAAAATGTTACGCCCAACGGGGGACTCGAACCCACGACCCTCAGATATCAGAGGTTCTTCAGCCTTAAAAGTCTGATGCTCTACCGACTGAGCTAGCCGGGCGCTTGATGTCCGGTAAAGACATGAACCATAATATTACATAACACCGTGAAGGTAAAATAGACTGTGTGTGACACTATCATAGCCTTAAATATTTTTTTTTACAATGTGTTTATAATGTGTAAATTACTTTTCTTTGACCTGAAAATATTTTACTTTTTAGTACATTTTATAAAAAGATCACGAAATTAGTATGAATCTGGAGGCACGCTGCTTTAAAGGAACTCCACTGAGGTTTATAAGCCTAAAAACATAAAATTTTAATTTTTCACATAGATAAACATGAGCGCTTAAAACAGAAATATAAATAAAATATAACCAAGAAATATACAAGAAATACATTGAAAATCATATGTTTGTGCTATTCTCAGTCCAATTTGAGTGAAAAGCGTTTAAACGCTTTTCAATTTTGGGTCATTTTTCACTATAATAATAATTATTATGGAAAAACGGAGGGAGTTAATGATCTGAAATTTTGCACATACTTTATAAGTATAGTCTAGATCTACATCAAATGGAGTAATAAACTCAAAAAATTAGTTCCAGTCCCGTCATGTCAAAAACCTCAGTGGAGTCCCTTTAATATTGATGTTCTATAATGTGCAGAGTTATAAAAACCTAATTTAAACGTTTTGATTTAATTTTCGTAAGCGTTTGCACTTTCAAGAACCTGGTCCTGTACTTTTTAATAAAACGTCTACTTGCGACATTTTTTTCTTTTGAGTAAAATAATATTTCAAAAAATACCTCGAGAACAGTAGAAAGGAAATTTGTAGCCCTCTATCTCGAGATGATTTATGTATTCCATGTTCGGGTCCTCAACAGGTTTCATTTGCGCAATACATTTCCGGCCTTCTGTAAATTGAAAATAATATAAAAACATTGAAAACCCCCTATAAATACAGTCAAACCTGTGAAAAAGTCATCCATGGGAGAGGCCGAACATGCGTTTAAAGAAAAGTGGGCTTTATTTTGAGTTTTTTTTTTTTTGGGGGGGGGGGGGTTTGTTGTTGTTGTTGTTTTTGTTTTTGTTTTTTTTGTTATTTCTTAAATTATAAAGGAATATCGAAGAATGACCTTTATTTAGAGGGGTCCTTATTCAGAGGTGATCATTAACAAAATTTTTACTGTACATAAATACATGTATGTTTCCAACAGTAAGACTACAGGATTTTGTAAGAAAAAAAAGTGATATAAAGTTATAATTGAAAGTTTTTTTATCACAATCATACTTTTACATGTAAATTATATATAAAACCTTTTTCATGAAAATCATGAATAATCGTTGGATACTCCTGTTTCTCGACGGGAAACGGATATCCCCGATCCTCTTCCTCTCATCCCCATCGATATAGTAATAAGATAATAGCAACTGAACAGAAAGACTGACAAAACACGTTCTTACACCCCGCCCTTCTATTAAGGCTTACAATCCTTATGTGATTTGACCCCTGTCCCCACTTAAATTTGTGGACATAGAAGTTTTACGCGAATTCGTTTTGTTTATCATAATGTTTGATTTGACTTACGAAACTCAGCATGATAAACCCCTTGTTCTATATCCTCTTGACAATAACCTGAAATAATAAACATGTATTATTTGAGCCGCGTCACGACAAACCCAACATAATGGGGTTGCGACCAGCATGGATCCAGACCAACCTGCGCATCCGCGCAGTCTGATCAGGATCCATGCTGTTCGCTTACAAACCCTATAACAAGTAGAGAAACTGATAGCGAACAACATGGATCCTGGTCAGACTGCGCTGGTCTGGATCCATGCTGTTCGCAAACCCATTATGTTGGTTTTGTCGTGACACGGCTCATTTGTGCGTGTGCTGTATGTTTTTAGAATAATAATTTGACGTGCTGTTCAAATCTAAGATATTGTAGGGGCCATATGACCCAGAAGACACGGTTGAAATGTTTATCTGACCCGAGTCTCAAGACAATGGTTATCATAGCAAACACGGTCATATAACATGTGGAAAATCTTTAAATAACGAATTTATAAGAATTCTTTCGTTGGTTATTTCATAAATTTACAGCAGCCGTTCAAGTAGAACGCCAACGTAACGTAGTAGGACGTCAAAATTAATTAAATCATTAAATCCCATTAAAACAATTAAAATAGATACGAAATTCTTACCTTTATCAAAAATTATTGAATATATCAAAACAATAAGCGTTAAGTCTAGTAAACGTTTCTTCATGTTCGAAACAGTAATTTATACTTTTTGAATGATATATGTACATGTATACGAGGAAATGAACGTGTTTATTAATTTTCAAAAAATATTTTTATATTTCCGCGTTATAAATTGTCGCCATGTTCATTGCCTGTAAAAAAACCCAAACTCGATGCTCGGTTGAAGCGACAGACCGAATTGGAAAACGTTCCATTTCATAAGCTGTTAATGCGATACAGTTTTATTTTAAATTTAATATAACATGTAACATGTAAAAGTATATACAAGAAAATCGTTAGCTTATAATTCATTATTATCGTAAATGCATTCCTTTAATGATACAATATTCCAAAATTAATGTATATGCTAAATCGCGAGTATATGAATGCAGCGTTAGATAAACAAGTTATAAAAATACAGGGTCATCATCCTGTTGGCGAAATTGCCTGTCATTCAATATTATTTAAGCAGCTTTACTGAGGTAAAAAAAGCTTCAAAACATAAAATTTGAAATTCTATGTATATACATCGGGTGAAGTTATATTCATAATCCGTTGTAATGAAATGTACAGGTTCTGGGCGTAACTTGTAGGCGCAACTCGTGCACTTAGGCACATAACGCATACACACACTGTATGCGTAACTCGTGCAATGTATGAGTATTACCCATACAAGCACTGTTTGGGTAACTCTACACCACTGCGGTATACCGTACCCCGGATATTGCTCGATATTATGAGGACTTTCATCCCATTTTGCGACTTTGAACGAGGAAAGAAGGTATGTTTAGTGACGATAATTAGTCAATTTGAATTGGTTTGATATAAATTTTGTAGTAAAACAAATACTTCGATAATTTCTCTAGTTACTGAAACCCCAAAAATGTTGAGAAATAGCTTTGAAATGTAATTAGGAGGTAAAATTCGTCTCTTTGCTCACGTGAACAATGAGCTCGGATCAATCAAATTTAATGTTTTTGTGCATATACTTCTTTAAAAGAAAAACTTGAATCGAGTGAAATGTGATAATGATGATAATGTTTATGTTGTAAATGTTCAATCAACAATAGAACCTCAGATGACAGTGCATTTTGAGAATAAATACACATGTCAGTGTATCGAGTATTGCGTTGGAGTTGCCCGCCGGTGTCACGAGTATTGCTTTTAGTGTAACGAGTATTGGTTATCAATGAAGAGTAAATGCAAGTAGTAAACACAAAGTATTTACCACATTTAATTTTAAATATTTCTTACTGTGTATACTTATTTACACTATATGTGCAGAATATGCAGAATTCGGAGGTACTTTACTGGAAACATCTGCGAATAATCCAGATTTTCATTCCTGCTCGTGAAAAATCTCAGTCGAACGAACTCAGCAATTTTCTGTGTTTAAAATGTTCTCGTTGCTATCGAAGGGTCAACCTTTCCAGAATTTGTTAATAATTATTGCATATCTTACTTTAAATAGTAAAAAATGCATCCAAAGTGCATTAATACTGCCTCAAGATTGTCAATATTAGACGGTATTGAGCAAGTGTGCCAATATCTAATATCAACCGACTTCCTACTATGCCAAAAATCCATATAAAGGTAACTTTCGGGCATTTTGTACCTGCACTCTAGCAACGGCAGACCGTCTGCACGTGAAATTTTGTAACGCCATTAGCAATGAGTTACCGTATGACTGCCGAGCGGGTACAGCTCAAAAAACCGTGTAATAGATTTTGATAAGATTATGATAAAGGGCAGCAGATGCAATAAAAAGGTTATGTTCCTTATAATCTTTTACCTCATGAAGGCTTTACACCCCCACCCCTTTTGAGGCCTCAAATAGTGTGAAACATGCGCTATTTAGGCACCAAACACGGTTTTTACGTTTGAGATATGTTGTTCAAAAGAGTGATCACTTTTTCGGCGCCACCCCCATTAAAAAGGTACATCAAGGGGGTTACGTAGGCGGGGGGGGGGGGATGTGCCCCCTTCTGTTTGGGGGTTTGAAGTGGGGCAATCGCCGAGAAGACTTGGGACTTGTGGGGGGCTAAATGGCCTCAGGTCGATTTAAAGGTACCGTGTAATAAACGCCGAAAACCTAAGACTTTATATCAATCAATTGAGAAGTTGGTGCACCTTGAAATCAGTTTTGATGGGGAAAAAACAACGCAAAATAGAGGTTTTTGGCAATTTTGAGACGCCCCCCACCCCGTTGCCATGATAATTGGAAATTTAAAATTGAGCATGCTATTCCACAAGCTATGGTCCAGCTAACATTTGTGCCCAGTTTGATTTTGATCAGTATTGAAGCATTTTTTATAGTTTCATAGCAGTTTGAACTTGTAACAAGAGGCTTGAAAACAGCAATTTTTCACATTATGCTCATGCAGTAAAAGGTTAAGACGATACCGGCATGCTTGGACGGCATTAGCCCTGGGGCCAATATTTTATTAATTTCGTCGATATGTTTCTTAAGGCAAACTTGCCCTGTAAAACCTATTATGAATGTCATCTAAATATGTTTTTTTTTATTCTTGTCCATTTCAGAGATGGGTCTCCTTGATCAAAGTGTCTTGAGACATGTATTTAAAGTTTTTTATCGTCAATTTTGATGGTTCTACCCTGCTTCCGACCCCGCGCACACTTTATTTCATCCATAGTGTGATTTTCAACCAAATTGGAAATTAAATCTCTGTATTTGCCCGTAGGAAAAGATGAAAATGCACTATTGAATCTGAAATATTTGAATAAATATCATATAAACAAGTGCATTATCATAAAAATGAAATAAAATCGATAAACAGACGTAAAATTTAGACAAAAATATCAAGTTTCCATACTAATGTGCTCATTCTGTTTTGCAATACTCTGTACACTAAAGTTGGGCTATTTTGCAATACTCTGTACACTTAAAATCAATACTCGGTACACTGTCTTGTATCTTTTTTGGCCTGTATCTTTTTGTACTTTCACACTTTTTGCCTGAAATTTGGACAAGGCATACTTGGATTGTGAATAAAAAAATTGCTCGATTCAATTTTTTTTATATTGGTGATATAATAATTTCTAACGATTCTACAGTATCGCGGTCAGTATTTTCTAGTGAGCAGCGGATCGTTTAGGGGTAGTTTAATCAATTTTACAAATAGCTGTAATATTTTTACGTCTTTTAGAGCTACAAAAATACCTCTAGATATATAAAACTCGTTTAGACAAATGAAATAGCCATTAGTTTGGAAAATATCGTCGCTGAACTTACCTTCGTTCCCCGTTCAAAGTCGCGAAATGGGATGAAAGTCCTCATAATATCGAGCAATATCCGGGGTACGGTATACCGCAGTGTACACTGTAGGCACATAATTCATGTTTTATTCGTGCACTGTCGCCACATCACTCGTACAAGCATTGCATGCGTTACTCGTGCACTGTCTAGGCACATAACTCATACACGCATATTGCTTGTACATTAGCAAAATACTGACTTATTCACTCATATTTTTTACTTAATATTGCAAATGTATTTGTGTGAAAACAGAAACTGTGATTTTAATATGAATGCAAAAGAATTAATTTCCAAAATTGTTTAAAAAATGTTTAACATCTGAAAATATAAATATACTCTGCAATATAAATTGATATACACGTTGTAAGAAAGGTAACTTAAAAATGCTTCATATTATACCATAAAAGCTTTACACTACCACGATGTCTTAGAACTGTGTACCTTAGTTGTCAAACTTCTAGAACCCTGATAGAAATAGTATATTAATGACTTTCATTGGATGATTCTGGCAAATACGAAGGCAGATTTGCTCATTGATTTTACTTGCGGTTATTGCAAAAAGAAATAGAAAAAATAACCAACCTTAAAGCTCACTTTTAAGTGTGTTTCTTAACAAGATAATTATAAAACTATATAAAAGATGGATTTTAAACAAACACGTCAAAAAATATACATGTATTGTAACATTAATATGATCATTTTGTCTATCAGAAATTGTAAAGTAAATTTAAATAGTTAAGAATCTATTATTTTTCAGAGTTTTTCAATAGCACAATGGCTTTTCATAAAAGTAAAATAAGCTGATCCCAGCTGTAATTTATCACTTCATGTTTGCACTCTTTATGTCATTGAAATTTTGAACGTTTTTGAAACAATTTGAATACAGCCAAGTTTGTCTTTGTTTATGCTTTCAGAAGGAAGCCAGTTAAACTCGTCTATAAGAACAAATAAATTTATGTAGTCCTTTTCCTCTTCCACTGTAATTTCAATATTTTCATACAGGTGTATTGGTTCTGTTACTTGTCTGTGAAGTCAATGAAAGTATAGGCTGTTCCTCCATTGAAATGTTTCTGTCAGATTTATCATCCTCTGTACTGGAATAAAATTGATTCTATAATTAACCTTCATAGCACATATCTTTGCAACATAAACTATCAAGAGTTGCAATCAACTTACCATAAATGCATAACATAACATCTAATAAGGAATTACACATTTATAAGCTATAACTAACAGCCAATGAAAACTGAACCAAAATGATCTCGTAAATGAACTCACACATGTTTGATTATGAGAGAATGTTTAGCCTAAATTTAACCAGTGATTTCACCAGTATATTACAGATATTCTTCTAGAAATGTATTACATTGTCAAATGAAAGTTTAATAAACTATGAAATTCTAAATAAAATAAGGGAGTGTTGACATAATGGTCCAGATCTCTGCCTCTCAACCGAGGAACAGTGGGCTCAGGCCCGTCCATGTTGATTGTTGAACACAAATTCTTTGTGAATAATTTATTATTAAGTAGATTTACCCTAAAATGAGTCCTATATTTGACAATTTATCTATCACCTGTGCAAGAGGCACGTGGAACCTTTTCATAACATAATCAAAGCAGTGTGCATTGGTGGGACGTACACAAGTCATTGCAATGAATTAGAAATTACAAATTATTAGGCTATAATTTTTTTTTTAATTTACTTACCATTGTTTTCCGCAAAGTTTACCTTCAACAAAATGGCGGGCGCACATGTGTGTACATTCGGAATACTTCTATTTGATCCATA